AGCTGGACACGAGCTCATCTGCATAGCCATAGCGTCACAAACCTGTTTTATAACAGGTTCGAAGGTGCGCAGGTCAGTGCAGAGTGACCCGAGGAAGCAGCCACGCTGGACCGTTTGTTAATTCTGGAGTCAACTTCGTTGTTCTTTCTTTCACGGACATTTCAGACTCCAATGTCCATATTCTATGTTAAGCCGTGCGTCCCTGAGACCTAAACCACGGTTCACACGGTTCACACAATACACAGTGTGACGTTTCCCTAAAAAGAGTGTGTCTGCGTCATCATTGGGGTTATCCATTTGTTCTGGCCGGACAACCTGTGCCGTTTGCTATACATCCACAAACTAGTCCCTTATACAGTCCGTTCAGGTGCCATAACTAGCACCATTTTTTACAGGCAGTGATCATCATACATAATGTGTGCCACTTTTTTAGAACAGGTGACATTATTGATATCCCTGGAAAACTACACTGATAAATATTCCACTCATATAGCAAAATATCATCTATAATTGGAAGATTGTAATCCCAAGCTTGTGTAAATCAAATGTTTGGCTCCAAAACCATCACATCCCAGACATATTACTGAAGTGTGCCGCTTAAGGAGAGATGAGTGAGCAAATATCACCAGGTAAGGGTTTACCTCTACTCCAATATAAGCCTGCCAAGGTGGCATTTATCAAGCATGAAGAAGGCTTAAGGACACACCGGGATATGTTTGCGAAGAGGTTGATGGATAAATATAGGAGAGAGCTAATCAAGACAGATATCAATGAAAGGATGCACCATCTGTTTGCTTCATCACTTCTCGTGTGGCACTTATTTTTGTTTTTTTTCGTAATGCATGTGCCAATATACTGATGTAAAATGAGAAATATACATTTATATATAAAAATAAATAAATAAAAATAAAAAATATATATATATTCAGTTATCCTAAAGAGGATTAAGCAATTTGATTAGAAAAAAACAACACACATTATGACAGAGTTTTCAGACAACATTTCTTTAATACAAAGTCAACATATCTACATACACAGTGGCTTTAAACCAATTATTGTTTCAGTTAGAAGTAACAGTTTGAAAGTGATAGCACTTGGCCCTCATACAAAGGAAAAACTGTTGCTGAGTTTGAGTTCTTTTACACATGTATGTACTGTATATGTTCAATTCTTTAGATGTAGTTTTTCTCTTCTTGTTGTCCTTTTGTTAGTGCCTCACCTGCCCAAAATTTTCAGCAACAATTTCCAGTAAATTTGGCAGATGTTTTCAAAAGTCTAGCGTCTTTACATGAAGTCAAAGAGTAACACATTGCACAAGCTTTAAACGACTCCCACAGATTCAGTTTCGGCATGGACTTGTTCAAATATTTTTTTTAATCAGTCTGCTTCCATCCCAAATGATTTTAGTTTATTATGAAACATCTCAAAGTTCCCATTGTTTGAGAATGACATGCTGGAAATGTGCAGCAAGTTTTTGGTTTTCTATGTCTGTCCTTGGTTGCGTCACACTCCTAGTTTTCGATGAATCTTGTTTTCTCTCTTCATCCCATTATGAATCATAGTCGAACAAAAATACAGAGTATGGTTCTATATAAACTAGAAAATGCCCTAGGAAAAAATAATAAATCAACATATGTCGTGGCTGAACCTTGGCCTTTAGCAAACCTGTATTTTAGCTAATGATACATTTCTGGATAAACACCTTGGCGTTATGGATATTTGGACAGCTGGAAATCTGCTGGAGATTTGTGGGAAACTGCTAGAGCGAAAAACAACTTTGGGTCACATGGTAATGTCATCATTAATAATCCATACCCTTGCAATTTATCACCTTGTCTAACTTTAGAAGCCAAAATACTTTAAGACAAACTGTTCTTAAACATAGCTCTGTTCAGAGTAAGAATGAGCATTGGCAAAATTCTGGGTGTGGATACAGATGCTGGCGTGTTTCCCAGTTTATTTGCTAGTGACTGAAATTAAAGGCAAAAGAACCCCCAAAACAAAACATGAAAAGTAATTAAAGACCAGTGAGCAAGGCTGGAGAAAGTGAATTTGAGAAACGAGACCTTATACAAACATATAGAAGCTGGACATGAGCAGAACCTTGATCTATGTACCTCTGTCTGAAATATGAAATCTTTAGGATCAAATGATACAAATACATATAATCTATATATTTGTTTATATACAGGTATACTCTAGTTCATAGTGGGTATTTAATCAAATAAATGGCCACATTATGTCTGACAAAGTAAAAAAAAAAGAGAGATTTTCTTTAAATTGCATCGGATGTGGTCTGTACATAATCATACAGGATACAGTATATCAAGTTTGTTTGATACAGAGAACAAAAAAATTGTCTGTTAATAAATTTGGATTTATACTTATAGATCGGATTAAAAAAGTATGATTTTTAAATTTGTGATTAGAAAGATTTTCAAATGTAATTTTTCATCGGCACAGGTTCTACCCAATGAATACAGGTGAAAGATTGATGATTGGAGTTAAAATATTCAGACATGGTGCTGATATCCAATTTTTTAGAGACACGCAAGAGGTGTAGGATTACATACAAATGTAAAAAAAAAACTAAACAAAATTAAATGAATGATAACCCATTGTAATTTAAAACATGAGAACTGACAGGTATAAAAATGATGAGGGTTAAAATTAAATTCATACTGGGGTTTGGATATATCTTCATATTCTGTGTTTAAATATATATGTATATGTATATATATATATATGCATGTATCAGTGTGCTCTATAAATATAAAGCACACATATATGCACAGACATGTTATACTTAACATTTCTACAGTGAAAAAATAGAATGTCTTTGAACATAATATGAACAGGTAAGCATTTCTCTTTTCCTAATAAAAAAAAAAGGTGAATACAACATCTCTGTTAAAAAACTAAACCAAAAAGTAAATTAAAAAGTCAACTGTGTAATGTAAAGTAAGTCGTCTTAATACAACATTAATGTTCTTATAATGTTACAATAATAATAATAAGGCTTTTTTGGAAATCAGAAACGATTACACACGGGTCTGAGCATCACCTTGCGTCACATCCACTGGAAACCTTCAAAGAATCCATATTCTCTCTTACACCAAAGCAATTCCCACAAAATGAAAACCTGGAGATTTTGAAAGCTTTTTTTCTCTTTAAACCAGACACATATACATTAGTGAGTTGACTTGGAGGTGTTTATGGGTCTCTGTTTCAAGTTTACTCTTAGTTTGTCTTAAAGATGTGCAAGTAATTCGTCCTGCTGAATTTTATGAACACATCAAGGCATCGAGATCCAACATGGCGGCTTGATCAGTCTGTGTCACCCATAGAGAGACATGATCTGTAGAATGGAGGGCAAACAGCGAAGCATCTATTTTGTGTGTCCTCCGGTTATCAAACACGTACACACAGTAGAACTTAGGGAACTCAGGGCAAATTTGTCAACCACATTAATTTACAGCTTTGTAAATGCGGCAGGTTGCTGCTGCTTTTGGGTGCGTCGTACAATGACATAGAATAATATAGAGGAGACCCGAACCAACAAATGAAATAAACAAAAAAGCGGATGCTGACGTCATATGGATGCGCATTCAGTCATACCTGCCAGGGTGCGAACAGTTAGCGGAGCTGGTATCTTTTATCCATAAGTTTGCTCTCCCTCAAGAGTCACATGTCATGTACAGCATACATGAGATAAGCAGCATGTTTGGTTTAGACAGAAAATTTAAAAAAAAAGAAGAAAAAAAATATTTTTCACAGAAGACAGAAAAGTTCCAAATGACGATGATGAGCATTGGTCACTGTACACAAAGAGAGCCCCCAGATTGTGGCAATCCTTGTTCGATTGATCCATTTGTTCGAAAGCATTTCGCCCCACCAGTGGGTGGTGGACGTTTATGTCAGAGGCCGTGGTTGCAAAGAGATTTGCAAAAATCATGGGGCAGAGTTGCCATTCCTCTCACTTTAGCCTCCCAGCGAAAGACCGACCCGAAGATTCTTGAAACAGAAGATGTTTTTCTCGATTTATCTGGTGGCGTGACCTTCCCGGAGAGCTTTTTATTGTAAATGTCCCATTGTTCTCCTCAGCATCACTGTTGTTACCTGGCTTAGGACACTGACTTTGCACAAGTTCACAATTCATAAAACTAACAGATTTTACGATATGTGTTGGTTGAGTTCTGACAACCTGTGTGAGGGCCCTCTCCAAACCCTTAGCACTTACCAGGCAGTTTTGGTGTTGTGGACTTCAATAGTTGAGTAATCTCCACATAAACTATGCATAATATTAGAGGAACAGTGGGGGAAATAAAACTCAATTTCTGTTCACCGCCAAATGTAAGCATTCTTCTATTCTGCCTCCGTGTGCTGTTTGGATGACCAGAGTTCGGGAAAAGCCAGTTGTGTTTACAGATGCAGTCATTTTTGCCTTTTCTCTGCATAACACTCACAAAAATTGTTGATAGAAATACTCAGACCCCACTTATACCCAAAAACACAAAAGTCTCCAAGTCTTGGCTACATCCATCTGCTTGTCATTGATTTTTGCTTTCCTTTTCCTTCTTTGCCTGTTGCTTGTTACTGCTGTATCACAAAGATATTTTTGAGAAATGTCCACGAATGTTTACAATGTCCTCCACATTGAAACACTTGAGGTAAGGTAAGCAGTCTCACACTTTGATCAATACCTGCCCCACAGTTTGAGCCACAGTTTTCTTGCTCCTCTCATGCTGAGAATGTTCTATTCTTGAAATTGTGGGGAATTTTCGTGTGTCTCGATTGGAATATTCTAGAGTTGTCAGCTCAGGTGTTTTCTTTAAAAGAAAAAAAAAATCTACAGGATCCTGTTTGATGTGTGTGAATTGGGGGGGCGGTAAAGTTGTCGTCTGCTGTCAACATTTCAAATTTCAAAGTTTCTATGGCTCAGGAAACTGTCGAGGTGGGTCTGGGGCAACAGGATTCTGGGGGAAGAGATGGCTTTTTTACGTTGCATAGTGATCAAAGCTTCCTAAGTACTCCAGAGCTGCGTGATAGCAGAATTGGTACTCATCCTGTCGAGAAAAAAAAGACATAAACACGTGTGAGGGATGAACCAGCAAGCACCGCAGCAGTTTAAACAACTTGCTCTGATTTTGAGACGACGTTTTGGGGTTTTTTTATGTCTGACCTCAGTCTGGACCATCGCTGGCCTCTGCGTCCGGAGCATCTTCACTGTTTGGAAGATATCCACCACACCTTCATAACGCATTCTTTCAAGGACAATGCTGAGGGTAATGAAGACTCCAGTTCTTCCCACTCCCGCACTAGAGACACACAGGAACAAAGCAAATCAGTTACGACTCGGGGTTCAATGTTTTGCCCAAAGACGTCCCGACATGCAGCCTGGGATCACAGCACTGACCAGCCCGTTGGCAGGCCACCACTCCAACCCCTGAGCCCCAGGCCGCCCAATGTGCTGGTGAGAAGTTAATTTCCATAAAATAACCTCAAATTCTCAAACACGTGAGTCAACATTCTTCTCCTCAAGGACACACAACAAACATATTATCTCATGCACACACGCAAATATTTACTCACATAAGCCCCTCCTCCCATGTGTCAAAAAGGAAAAAAAAAGAAAAAAAAAGAAAACTGCAGTTTGCAGCCACACTCCAGAAACTCTTAGCTCAAATTGTGAAATACTTGAGACTTGCCTCTCTAAGCTGCTTTTCTGTGAAATGACTTCCACTTCACCAACGGAACAAAAATTGATATGACAACAGATTTATGTGGGCATCTTCCAGCCCCTGACGCCACTGTATGGAATAAGGAGTGAAAGTGATGGCTGTAGACACTTTAGTTGTGCATGACTATGCTAAGAAGTGTGTGTGTGTGTGTGTGTCCTGGAGGACAAAAGACTGCATTTGAAAGATAATAAACACAGCAATCTAATCATGCAGTATACACACCCACACCACCATGTGGTGGTATCTCTCAGCCCACCCAAATCTGCTTCCTGGGAGTCAGTCACAGCTTGTCACATGGGATCTTAAAACTCACTCAGAGCTTCTGCCTCTTTCAAACCTCCTTCTCTCTCCAGATCCAAATCTTAAAGCTTGTCGAGCCGCGGTAGACTGAGAGGATTTGGTGTCCCCATTCACAGCGAGTAATCAGGCAATTAATGACAAAAAGCACGCGGGTCTATTAGACAGAGGCAGAGGAACGGAGAAGAGGGAGGGGAGGAAAAGAAAAGAGGTCCTGGAGAATGGATGAATGGTGAGGAAAAGTCAGCAAGAGGATTAAGAAAGAGGCAGATGACAGACTGGGAAGTCTGGTGATAGAAAACCAGAGAGTTAGAGAAGAGGAGGACGTAAGCTCTCTGGGAGAAGCCCGAAGAAAGACGGATGAAGAAGGAGGAAGGCAGAAGGTGGTGGCTGGCCTGACTGATATGAAAACCAGCTAATGTCGCTTTTCAATAAAAAACGCCTTTCCCGCGGAGACGTTTGCCTTTTGACACTCGTCTGTAACCTGATCAACAGTGACTGACTCTAGTGTTTAAGTGCAGCTTTGCGAGGACAATCATCAGCTGCTTTGCTGAAAATGACATCAAGTTTATCAAGATGTCCTAATAACCCCTAAGTGGCACAATGGGGAGCTGAATATGGAATATGGTCCTATGACTTTGCCTTGAATAGACAGAGGGCATGTATTGTCCATTATTCGTGTACTGCAATAAGTAAACCTTTCACTGTAAGAAAGCCCCTTCCAATGAAAGCACAGAGGTGTAAAATAACTATGTTTTATTGGAGTTTCCCTGACACACATTACAACTGCTACAGGCCCATTCACTGTTTGATGACATAATTAGATTTTTTTTAAAAAGTGAGCTAATGCTATGCTTGATGATATCATGGCGCCTCGGTGATAGAAATGTGGGTCAAATGTGACTCTGGTTTAAAGGTTAGATATTTTATTGAGACAGCCATAAAACGATTCATTGTGTGAAGCCACAACACGATCCCATCCAAAAAGAAAATATTTTTTTCCCCCTGAATAGCAGCCCAACAAGCAAAATATAAACATAAAAAATATTCACAGTTTACTGGTATTTCTTTTGTGTGTTTGACTCATGCAACACCGGAAATGCCAGGGGCACAAACAAGGTCCATTATTTAGCCACTGAAAGTTAGAGGTTCTTTAAAAGAATCGCCTTCAAGGTTTATTATGAATTTCAATAATCTGAAGTCTTAATGGGAATGTCTCGCAAATATAAATTTTTACCTTCATTTAGCATGTCAAGTTAATGATGTAAGTTACCTTGGAAGCTACACCTGAGGTGATAAAAATGCACCGCAAAGCGATGATAAAAACTAAAAGAATGGCTGCAATGTTTCATGGGCCTCCTCTTCATGAATGCCAAGACACATCTGAGCCTTATCAATTATGGAGGAGAAAAGCCTGTGGAGATATAGAGGAGAAGAGCCTGTGGAGATATAGAGGTAGTGTTCCACAGTGGCATGAAGAAGAGGAGGAGACATATCTGATGCTGCAGCTAGAGCTGCACCTCAGGAGGGAATGTGTGGCAAAACAATAACCGTTTCCGAGAAGTGATTTAATCTCGTCCTGATATTTTCAGCCTTATACCACTTAACACTGTCTTTGGGGTTCTGTTGGAGGCAGGAAGGAAAAGGCATGGCCAGGCCGAAACAGCACGTCACAACCGCTTTTCACCAAGCGAAAGCAAAGAAGGTTTTAACATGACGTGCACGCATCTCACCTGCAGTGAACAGAGATAGGTCCATCTTGTCCAAACTGCTCCTTGGTTTTATGCACCTGGCCAATGAAATCTATGAATCCCTCCCCTGATTTGGGCACACCTTGCTCAGGCCAATCAGTAAACTGGAACTGCCTCACAGTTCTGGACTGACCATCCTGTAAAGACAAAAACAAAAATTCATGATATTACGAGAGATTGTAAAGAGCAAAACAAATGTAAAGAGTGTAGAAACAATGGACTGAACAATGAAAACAAAGACAACCATCAATTCCTACATTTCTCTCACACAAGGCCACGTGATCTAATCTTAATAGTAGTAGTATTAGGTTCCCACATAAATATATATTTGAATTGGACTGGGTGCTAACAATCAGAGTAATCTGTGTTGTTTTTCGGAGAGCTGATTATTTATTCTGAGAATATGCAGTTGACACTTGTGTCAGGTTCTTTTCTGGATGTCAGAGAGAGAACAACTTTATTGAGAAAGTCAGCAGAGATAAGCAGTTTTGCCCATGAAGACAACATTAATTAGGACAACCAGTTTCATTTTGTTTCACACTTGTCTTCCCAACAGACTTCAGCTCAGTTGTCATGGGTCATTCTCACACTTGTTATTTCTATCTGAAAACACTGTAATTGCACAATTTGTGGTATGTTCTGTCAGTAAATGGGGTGTTTCAGTGACCCCGCTTATAGCTGTGGAACATTTTCATATTAATGTTAAGAGTGTATCTGGCAAAATTGTGTCAGGATGGATGCGTAAAGAAAGTCATTTTTCTGCTCGTGATAGACTGCTGAATGATTCAATTTGGCACTCTGGGAAAGACCTACTTAACTGGTAAAAATAATATAATAGAAGGGAACAGTTTGCGTGTAAAAGCTTCAAGCCATAAAAGCTGTTCCGTATATGTCACATATCCTCTAATTCTTAAGAGGAAGAGCAATGGTGAAATGTTGACATAAACAAGTACCTGGACTCCTTTTTTAAAAGCTTTTTCAAAAAGCTATTTGAATTTTTACCGTGAACTAAATATCTCCTTTCATTGACAGCAGGCAAATGCAGATCAGATTAGTGACTGCAACCAGACTGTAAATTATACAGCTACTGGACGTCAAAAGAAATACATAATCTGTCTATTGACTCTGCCTGCCTATTATCCCTAAGCAGACGTGTTTCACGCTGCTGCCACCAAGATGTGCTCTTCTACATGATTGTTCCTGACAAATACAGTGATTCTAATAAGTTAAGCTCCATGTACTGACTACCTTTTGTTTATCATCTCATGTTTCTTCCCCTATTTTATGGCACATTGCATGTTTCCTTTCTTTTGCTGCCTTTGTTTTTTCTTCTCAACAACATTTAGCCTCAGCAGGGGGATTAAAAATGAAAGAGGGGCAAAGACAACAACACAATAAACCAAGCATGCCAAAGACAGAGTAGAGAAAAAAAAAAAAAAGAGGGAAATTTTACACACAACCTGAGGGCCCACGCGGCGTGTCAAATTGTGTGATTAAATACGTGACTGGCTCGCTAGATGCGAGTGCTGAGGCGTGGAGTCTTAGCTATTACTGCGTGGAGTCTATGCTATTACTGTGCAGAGGCATGCGACAATACACACAAATTTGGCGTCCAAACAGAGACGTGCAACAGATCCGCAATGTTTGCGGATAAACCCAATTTTACAAACACTTTTACATGCATACACAGTCAGTAAAAAGGGGTTGAGACCTGTTAAATATACACAAACCTACTCAAACACACCACTCCATCTTAGACTAAATTCAGCACTATCATCTGCTGCATCTCTGCTCTATTTGCATAACTGTGATGATAAGCTTCGGCTTTCCATTTGCCTCTGTTGTGCACTTTTACGATTCGGTCTGCTTTCAGAAAACCTTTAAAAGAAAAACTAACACCAACCAACCCCTAAAAAAAATATGTTTACAGGTGCGTATGTGTCCTTGTGTGCTCGTGTCCATGCTGAGAATACAGAGTTTGAAGCGAGATAGCCATTTAGCAGAAAACTCAGGAACATGTCTCCGCATGTGTTTGTGTGTGTCAATATAAGCCTGTTCAAAGCGACATATTTTTGCAAATTGATGGTGTTACACATTTACAAAAAGAAATAAAATAAGTATGCACGTTTCTATGCATCTGCTCCAACTAAATCTTGGCCTCATTTCCTCATATACTTTGTCCCTGTTGAATGTAAGCTTGTTTGTGTGCGTGGGTAAAAATACTAATTTTTCCAACATCACCAGGACGCATACTATCAAAAGTTGCTTCTGAATTGCCTCGGGATACTCTGGATATGTTAGCCTGTCTGGCAATAGGATGAGCATTTTTACTGCCTCATTGTAAAAAAAACAGATATCCTAGTGTAGGAAAACAACTGGAGTTGTGTGGAAAAGTTTTACACACTGCAAAGCAATACTAAGACAAAAATTAGATTGTGAAATTTTATCTTGTTTCATGTTAAAACCCAACAAATTATCAAAATAAATGTTACATGTGAGCATTTTTATAGACTTTTTACAAAAAAGACATGTATCCTGATGGGTGATGGCTTCTAAAAATAATTTCATGTTGGCGATCTTATTTTCATAACTGCTGAAAGGCAAAATTGGAATCGGATCTCCTCCAATGCCCTTCTTTTACTGCATGCCTTACCCTTGCATCTGTGACCTTAAACTCTCGGAGGATGTACTGAGGCATGTTATACTCTGCCATGGGATCCACCACAAAGTACTGATATCTGGCGGACCGCTCTGCCGGCCAGTACTGATGACACTTTTCCTGTGTAAATGAAAGATTCACAAACAATATGTCAAAAAGACATCATCAGCAAATGACTTGTTTAAGTTCAATTGAAGAAGCCATTTAAAATAAAAGGACAAGATCGAAGTCCTACCCGTCCCATTTCTCTCAGTTTGGTCAACATGACTACAATAGTGGAGTTGTTCTCCCAGAGCATTCTCCAGAAGTCTTCTGTAGTCTCTGCCAGAGGGCCCTGTGTGGCGATGTAAGCCCTTTGCTGCCTGTTTTCAATAGAATTGTGTTAAAAACCATATAGGTTTAGCTAGAATATGCAACATGCACAGCTTCAAACACAATCATGGAATTTCAAATTCTGGGTATCAAGCTTACATCATTAAAAAACTAGATAGCAAAATAACCACAAAAAAAACATCACTAAAGAAGATAAAACAAAATTAAGTCATGTCTTTCACAAATCAGCAAACGTGTTTCCAGCTATATTTGCCCTCTTACCTATATCCATCAATAAAGCTAGAATTGATGTAATCAGATCCTTCCAGGCCTCTGATTGGCTGCAGGCAGACACGTGTGGTCTCATAGGGCATGATGTTGACCAGCCGGTTCTTGAACTTGTTGCAGGGGAGGTTGGCACTGATGAAGCGTGATGTATGGGCTTTGGAGTTGGCCAGACGCTGGTGAGGAAAGATGGAGAGGTAGTGTTAATTCTTCAGGAAGGAAGGTAAAGAGAAAAAAAAACAAAAAAACAAAAGCCAAAGAAAAGATATAAGATTCCAGATTAGAAGAAGATGAGTTGAAAAGGAAGAACAGTGATGAGAGAAGGAGAGAAAGGATAACAGGTTTAGTGTCTGAGGCTGCCTAAAATATCAATGAAAGAAAGTAATAAAATTGACTCCTGAATAATCTGACTTTCAACCTTGCTAAACTGACAAAATTAGAACTTCAATATTTATAAAGATGAGATTAAATATATGTAGAGAGGAATGCAAAGTCTTTCTCCCCATTGCAACTTAAGAGGTGCTGCAGGGTCAGATCTAACACTGGAAAATACGCCACACACCCTGACTAACAAGCCTCCGCATCAAGTCTGAAAGAAACAAGCTGGTCTAAAAGTGGGTCACTATTGCTCTGAAAATGGTATATCTGCATAAAACATAGGCATGTCCAGAAAGCAAACGCACACAATGCAAAATGATCAAAACCAAAAGCAGCACTGCCACATCATCACTGTCTTAAGGACCGCAGTGGAAGTTTGTGGATCAGTAAGCCCTTTGATCGCCTCCTTTGGGCTTCAATGATTCAACAAAGGGTATTTATTTCTGCTTGCTTGTTAGCAAATAAATAAGAGGTCACCATTGTTAGACAATTCAAGTCTCCTTTAAGACAGCGAAAAGCATGTCGCATTGAAGTCACAAGAAGCACCATTGGATTAGATAAAAGTGAGCTAGAACTAAGCCCACTAAACACTAGATCTATTGAATCTTTTTCTCCCCACCTCCTCTTTAACATCATTATTTCGGGGTAACTGGTTGTTTGGAGTGTGTCCAGTACTTTCCTTTTCCTCACTTTCCTTCATTCCAATCTACGGTACTCTATTTGATCTTTTGCTTGAGCGTCTGGAATTGCCCGCAATGGCCTGGCAGTGCTTAAGAAGTCCCTAGAGACAACACCAAACAACACAGTGTGCAGGGAAACAGATCCAAACCTGGCAACCAACAAGTCAGAAACCCACCTTCCAGTCACTGGTGCCAGCTCATTTCCTTTTATATCACAGTAGGTCTGCCCCACTGGATGGTGCACAACATCATTTTGACATGTCAAACCACAGCAGTGAGAACAATTTCTACCTATTGAGTCTCATTCAAATGTTTTAAAAGTGGTAGCTAGTGTATCTGAAAATGAGTCCAACTTATCTTTAACTACCCACTGATAAAGCGTTAATTAAAAACATATAAAGCATGTTTTTTGGATAATATTTCCATAACTATTAAGTAATAAACAAATGAAAACTGAAATAAGCCCAAGGCAAAGGTTTAGGCACCCCTATTGCTTTCAAGTGTCTAATAATTCGGATTTCAGAGGGTGTGGCCTATTAACAATGACCATTAGGAAAATCCAGGCAAAATACATTTTCAAGCATTTTAAAATACTCTAAATGCTCAAACCAGCCCCAAGAACGTGCAGCCGCCAGCTCGTCTAAACAGTTGCTCAGCACTCTAAAAATTAGAATAACTGAGGCCCATACAGGCTACCAGAAGATAGTAAAGTGTTTTCTGGAAGCCATTTCCCCAGTTTATAATGAAATTATGAAATGCCATTTTACAGGAATTGTGGAGGTCAGGCTGAGTTCTGAAAGACCAAAAATCCAATGTCTAATTCAGCTGGAACTGGACAAAGCATTGCTAGAAAGGCTAATTAGAGTCCATGTTGAAAGTGAAAGACTATCAAGAAGATTTAACAGACTCCTGAGTGATACAATGTTTTGCTATGAAAGGACTCTACATATTTATGACTTTTATGAGAGGAAAATATTTTCTGTATCCCCATAAAATTCAGAATCTAGCATACAGCGTCTGCTGCTCTTTGGGGGAAAAGTATTGTTGACTATAACGCCAAAATGTAGCTTCTATGCAGCCATGAGTAAGGATATGTTTGGAGACATTTCATTTGATTTATTTAAGGAACACAACCTCTCTGCAGATATTATAGTGCAGATTTATGCTTTTGGTTTGTATTGCAACTCATGGTTTGTTAACCTTTTTAATAGTAGTGCATAGACTTGATTAAATCAAATATTTGCAATCCTGGAAGCAGACATCAAACCGTCTGTAAAAAGCTAAAGATTTAAAAAATGATTGCTTAAATAATACAGAAATCCTCCTTTACAAACATCGATATCCACAAAGAGAGTTGAAACTTTGGCCATGACACTCAGCCCTCCAACTTGAATATTACATCAAATGGCCTGTCCAAGAAATATGAGTCTCAAAGAACTAGTAGAATAACGGTAACAAAAAATTCATAGGCTTTGCTCTGCAAAGACACACACACACACACACACACAAACCCAGGTCAAATAGTCCAGCAACACACAATCCGTGCACTTGGTTTGCAGCCCACTTTAAAAAATATCACATTCACCTAGACAGAACGGAATTATCCAATGTCCTCTTCCTTTTTACATACTTTAATTTTTCATAATTCATTTTGCAAATTTTTCAGAAAATCGTCTGCAAATGCAGCATTATGTTCCCATTTAAACAACTTAACATGTTATTTAAGCGAACACAGTATTCAAAACAACCAGTGCATATCACCTTCAGCACAAATCCTCCTTCTGGAAAAATTCTCTCTGTTGTTTCTTGTAAATTCCAAAGATATAGGCCAGGATTTACCCGACCTGCAAACAAAAATGCCCTGAAACACACTCTCTTTACCTTTCACAACTACTTTTCACCTCCTTTTCAGATTTATTTCCAAGTTAGCAGCTGCCCCTTTGTTCAACAGCCAAGCATTTCCTCCCTCTACTCGCCTTGCCATTCACCCTCATTTGTCATCCTCAGGTCTTAATTACTGTTCTCTTCTACCATTCTCCACACAAACCTCTATCCTGACTGTCGTGTGGACATTATTAATCCTGGTTCAATTCCTGATGCCAGGTCAGCATTACTGGTGTTACAAATAGGAGCAACGTTCAGCAGTGAGTTAAAAGAAAAAGGTAGAAAAACACCAGCACAATGACCGTCTTTTGGCCGGAGAGCTATTGATGAACGGTGATAGGAAGATGATAGATGATTTAAGAGTAACAGCGTTCAAAGTTAAGATCAGCAGACAGTGACTGCAGCACAGAGGCTGAGGCGTGGTTTGTTCGTTTTTCTAAATCCTTGAAAATAAAAAGTGTTGATGAACAGTTTGAACATTTCCATTTGTAACTAAACAATTCTATCATAAAAGTACACGATCTAGGAATTTCCCCCATCCAACGGTGAAATTGTATTTTGCATTCTAACAAATCTTGCTCTCTAGTGCCTCGCGTTTTCAAACGGGTATTGCAACTACGGTAGCCGTCGTGCATCAAGAAGTAATGACAACATGACTTCCACATCATCGAGTTTTCTGTAGGGTGATGGGGTTTGTAATTAAAAAAAAATAGGACAAAACAGAAAGACATATAGGAAATTCTTTGCTTATGAGAAGAAGTGAGATCATTCCAGAGGTAATTTTACACGAAATGATGACACATTTATAAATGAAGAAAATTATTTTAGATAATAAAATACTTAAAATACTACACAATGTCCCTTTAAAATTGACTCCAGGAGAGATTTCAATCTGAAATCCAATTACTTTCACATAATCTATAAACAGACAAATACTTTAAATGTAAATAGGTAAGTGTGAATTTATATTGTTCTTATCTGAGGCTAAAAGATAAGTGCTTCTGTACCCTGTAAGCACTGTGTTCCCATTATGTCTGTATCAAGCACATTATGTCTGAATTGAAATCGAGTTTTTCTGAAGAATTATTCTAAGACTTATTATCTTATGAGCTTGTTCTATATGTTTTAAAATTATGCCATCTTTTGGCATAAATTCATAGAGCAGTCTAAATCAAGTGGCGATTTTCTTAGGAACAAGTTTGACATGGTCACCTACAAGCTGGCTGTTCACATCATTTTCATGCCAGAGCCCAGAGGTATTTAACGGAGGTGACAGAGCTTAAACCCAGCAGAAAATGGCCAACATGTTATTAAGGTAATTACTACATTTCCTGTACCTTGAACTCTAGCTCCATGCCAGTGACATGCTCGCCGCTCTCCACCTGGGCCAGCTTTTGGATGTAGGAGTACAGGCTCCGGGCAGCCACTTCAGTGTTTCCGCAGGCAACCGCCTCCAGCAGAGCATCATGAATGAAGCTGTACTGATCCTCTGTCTGCACCATGTAGTTCCGCTGTGAGCGCATCAGTGTCACATGGCCGTAAATGTCGACTGTCTTCTCGTGCTTGATACGCTCAAGCATGGCATCGATTACTATAAAGCAGCCTGTTCTGCCAACACCCGCACTGAAATACCAAGGAAAGAGAAAGAGAAGAGTTTTCAACTGTGCTATTGCACTTTCATACCTCAGCGCTTTTATTGTGCTGTTGTGCCAGATATTCAAAAAATGAAGTACCCATTTTACCACATGTCCTCCTTCCGTTTAAAACAGGATAGACAGAATTATGTGCTTTGTTCATAATTGACAAATAACATGAATGTATTTTGAAGGCTACAGAGAGAATACAAGAAGAGTAAGTAGATAACAAATAGAACAATAGAAAAACAGCGACGGAGACTCAAGCTATCTAATTTCAGAATTATTGTGCAGTGCTTTCAGCTCACGGAAGTCTTCTTATCTTGACAAAAAAAGGAAGGTTTCAATTTGAATAAGCCATTTGAGAAATATAGCTTGTATAAGGAGGAAGAGCTTCGGAGCGAAAACGGAGAGGAAGTAATGATGGGAAGGGATTACTGTGAGGCATTTGACAGAAAAAAAATTGGGGGGAGGACAGAGAAAGGTGGGTGCTACATAGAGAAGAATGATAAGGCCAATAAAGAGGAGAAACGATGGGAACTTAAGAGAGGCCATATAAGAAAGAAACACGTCCATATAGAGAAATCAGAATGATGAATTCAGTGAAAAAAAAGAAAAAGAATACCCTTTTTTTGTGTTGAGTTAAGCTTTTGGTTGGCCCTTAACTCATATTAACTGTTGCAAAAAAAGTTCCTATACAGCCCACTGGCTTCATGTAAGTTCAAATAGAATGCATGTGATCTCAATGGGAGAATAATAATCATATGCTATTGTTTTATAGCATAACATGACTGATGACCTGCAGTGAGCAATGATGGGTCCGGCATCGGGCGGGTTACAAGTCTTCACCCTACGAAGGAAGGCCAGGAATGGGGTTGGGTATTCTGGCACACCATGGTCAGGCCATGCTGTGAACTGGAACTGACGAACTTCTCGCTTCTCACTCGAGCCATTCTATGGAGACAGAAGTTGGAAAAAGCAATTATGCCCGAGTCCTTTCTGTGAGCTGACTAACTTTCAGGTTGTTACACTTTCATTCAGAAGTGGATGAAAATTACATAGCATGAGAGTGTTGCTCTAGTCAAACTCTTACGACTAGCAAGTATTTGATGATGACTGTTTTACTTTCAACTTCAGATATTACTACTAGCCTTCAAGCGATATAATTTTAGAGGTGTATCTCTCTAGAAGGAGCTTAAACCACTGACAGACTGAACTCAGAACTTCAGGCATGTATGTACAAAAATCCAATACAATAATAGCAATCTTTGGTATGGGAGTTTTAGATTTCCTGAAGAGGAAAACCAATTTACCCAGCTACTCAGACAGGTGATTAGGCTTAAGCAATCCATTGATGTAATGAGTAATTTATCTGTTTTATATACTTTTCTTTTTAGCCTGATGGATTAAGAGGGGATTTTTGGATCACACTATGTATTCTGGCTAGGTAAAAATTGGGTGGTAATGAGTTTTTTAATTAAATTAATTTATTAAAATCAAATAACACAGTTAAGCATTTCACAACATTATATATATTGTTTTGTACTGGAAACAAGTGCAATCTCAATAAATGAAAGAGTATAAATGAAAGAGTGTCACTATAGCATTTATTTATTTAACATGATTTCACATTCCAGTTTGTGTTTCTAAGGTATATATAATAGTTTCAAATTAATGCAGCAAACAGCTGTTACTTAAAATCAGTCCCTGAAGCAGCAAAAAACAAGTCGATATGCAGAGAAAGGGTATTTTCTGTTGTAAGAAGAAAGGAGAATAAAGTCTCCCTTGGATCTTGATGTCCTTTTCTCCTCTTTACTTACATAAGATCCTCTAATAGATGAACTGTTTGCAGCTCTGTGCAGTGCTTCTGCTTTCCTGACAGAGGGAAAATTTTCCTTGCTGAATAAATGAATAACTGAGTGCGATAATTAAAAGCAAACTGACCTACTTCCGAGCTTCTTTATTTTATTTTGGACATTCCTTGTTTCTGCCGTTTCGACGGACTGTTTGAACATGATGGTTTTTCTTTCAAATGATTTTGTTAAGGATGTGTGAGCAGACACAATTCTGCATCGCTGTTGGACACGCATGAATATATATAGTTAGTTAGGTATCCCAGCAACTGCTTTGTAGATGCACCGTGTGCATGCCTGCCTCTGCTATCTTATATCTCACAAAAAAGGCAGGAGAGCGAAAACAGCTCAGTGAGGAATCACAGCGATGGAACCGCATTATAAGGCAGGAGAGGAGAGATTGAGAGAGAATCTTATCAGTGGATTTGATAGAGGTTCAGAATGTAAATGTACCCAAATGTCAAGCAGCCGACTATTAAAAAAAATCATGGCTGGTGATACGTTGCAATCTTTACCGTCACAGCCATGCCTTGGCATTCATCATTCAGCAATCCAGCTAAAAGTCAACTAGCTCCTTTTCCATGTGTTATCTGGTTAAGAAGAAAAATTCTGGAAATGTCTAATCTTTCAAGTGTAAGGTTCTCTGCCTCTGACAGCCTTGTTTTCATACTGTCATGTGGTGCATTTATCAAAATGGGTCACCAAGCATTGTATACCACATGTGATACAGTTTTCTTTATACTGTTTATTCCTCCTTAGTGTCTGTGAGCAGTTAAATGCTTTTAGTGTGTTATCCATCTATGTGGGAGCAAATCAGTGCGTGACATTCCATCTAACTTCATTCATCTAAAAAAAAAAAGAAAAAAGAAAAAGCTTCGTACTGAGTATATGCCTCTGAGACGAGACACAATGTATCTGGCTGTGTGTTTTGGTGTTTGAATATGCATGTCTGTGTGTGTGTGTGCCACTGTGCACAGAAGCATGAGAGCAGTCTGTCAATTATGTATATTGAGTTTCTCTTCTGCTCACTTTACCTAAGTGCTCCAATTTGGCAGATGCACATAAACAGATGATCTATTGAGGAGAGACCGAGCCAAAGGTAAGAGGACTGAACTGGAAGGACAACGGGGACAAAGGATTACCTTTGTCATGTATTTATTCTTGATTACTCTCGATAAACAGAGAAAATCTTTGAGAAAACCATTTTCAAAGAACTATATCTACTCGATTGCCGAATATTTATTCCTCGTAATCCAACACGATTTTTTATAATACCTTAATAATTATTTTCATGTCCTCGTCTATTAGAATATTGCGGGTGGGAAAGAATACATGTAGATCTCAACCACAGCGACTGCTTTCTGATAGCAGTGCGTGGGTGTTTACAGCCACACACACACACACACACACACAAAAAGAATCTCTGCATCAAATAGATCCCCATACCTTGTGCAAGGAGAAAGTGCGGACACAGAAAGTGGCCAATTCTATGGTGTCTAGCAGGGTCACTTGGGTCATGCCGTAGGTTTCGGTTCCACGACTGGGCCAGTACTGGTCACACTTGATCTAAGAGAGAGAAATTAAGGTTGAAAGGCAGTGGAACAGACATAAGTGTTAACAGGAATTTGTCATATCTATTAAATGATTTCTCTGTGTAAAAAATAGACCCAAAATGCACATATTCCCAGTTATCTTAGGGATCAAATAGACTTCTGAGTCAGCAACACCTCACATCGAACAGATGTGTCACAAATCCTTTCATTCAATACATAAAATACAAAATAAGCAAATTGAAATTGTTCTAAGAAAATCATCACAAAAAAAGATCTGGATTTGTAATTAAAGCTGCAGTGTGTGTGCATTTCATTTAATGACAGATTCCTTATCGTAACCGTGAGGGTTTTTAGCATTTTGAAATCTTAAATTCTGAAATCGCAACACCTGCTCCTCTTCCTACCAGCCCAGCTAATAAAGTTTCATTTAATTTGGGGTGAGAAGCGCCGGTGGACATCTGATGAGATGTGACAGCAAAGTGAGGGAGACGTGCTGCTCTCCAGCTTTCTCTCCCATTTCCTGCTCAAGCTGACACTCAAGTTCTGCTGCCTGCTAATCCTGATCGCGTTTGACAGGGCTGGAATGCACATGTCGGGGTGGAGGATAGGTAAACAATTGAGGAGGAAGGGAAGGCAGGAGAATGAATGGAGACACCTGGGGTAAGAGAGCCTGATGCTGACACGGGTTTGAGCTGACAGGTTGAAACATCGGCTTGGCTTTTTGACATTAAGACAAGTCCACGCCTACATAGTACAAGACATTATCACTGTAGATTCCGTAGCATTGGCAGTGATGGGGTAAGTATTTACAGCTAAGTAAAATGGCTTCCAAATATGTCAAGATTCTTAAATTAGGTTCAAATTGAACGTGTGAATGGAGAGTTCTATCAGGAAGATGTACTTGCAAGGCAGCTGGGCACACTTATTATGAGTCTCACTGCTGGGGGATTATAAAATGATGCTTAAATGTCATCAGAATTCAAATATTGCAGCAGAAACGTTTGAAAAATTCCAGATACATTTTTCCTCAAACATCTTCTATCATGACATGGTTCTGGATGGCTCTGATCACAGAGACCAATGAAAGTGTCCAAAGTGTAATTTCAGTTATTTCCACTCTCTTGGAGTGTAAAACCAATAACTTGCTCTGCTATCATGTCTATAGGGGACTACCAGTAGACCTTAATGAATCCGATGTGTAGAGGTACACTGTTTTTTAGTTAACTGCTTTATGACCTTCCTATGTGATTTCCCTCTGGTTTCTGCAGCCTTCAAAAAGCAATCAGCAGCGAGAAAATAAAAGTTGGACTACCTTCCATTGGAATTTAAGTGTGAAGCTTCTTAATCGGTGTAAAAATGCTATCATTGTCAGCACCTGTTTGTTGCATTTAGTCTTGTGATACAGTTATTGGATTTAGCACTTTGTCAAAAAAGACACACAAAAATGGCTGAGCAGACCCACCCGTGACTTCTCCTCCAGCCTGGTCATCATGACGACAGTGGCTGCTCGCTGTTCCCACACCATCCTCCAGAAGTCCCCAAATGTCTCTGGTAATGGACCTTGGGTTGCTATGTAGGCATTCTGCTTCCTGTAGCCATCAATGTAGTTGGCATTGATGTAGTCACTACCAGTTATACCTGCAGACAAAAGACAATGGGGTTAAAAAAAAATCTATATGGGACTTCTGATGCTTTGTCCTCTTTAAGCATTGTAAGATAACTGTTGTTGTGGTTTGGCGCTATATAAATAACATTGAATTGAATTGAATTTAAGATCTTCCCAGCTTAATTATTAAATAACCAAATATAATGATAACAATTGTTGTCAATATCTAAAATCGCTGGAATTTGAGAACCATTGACAACTAGATGATTTTTACCATTTATTTTACTTTAAATGGGCCAAACGCCTACATTTCCTATCAAATCACTTTAATTCTTTTTTTCATCAATGTTTTTTTTTCTACATGTGTGATTCTGACCCAGTCTCTGTAAATGCACAGTGGCAGTCTGCATCTGCTTTACCACCCTCACGGATATGTTTCAAGATTGAGGATAGTGGAGAGTAAATCAGCCACTCAGCCATGACACCACATCACATCCCATCTCATCCCTCGAAGGCTGCTGCCATGGTTTGTGACACACTGGTCCTACTAAATCTTGTCATAAGGAGACCCCCTCAAGCATTGCTGCGCAGAGGGATGTGGGATTTTTTAATGCTGATGATGGTGTGCATACAGCAAAATTTAAGTAAAATTCTCCATCTGAAGATGTATAAACATAAAATCATCAAAATGCAGAATAACAAGCTCAGTAATTCTTTTGAGCCAAGACAAGAGGATCTTAAGATTAGAGTTTGTCTAAGAGCTCTAAAAGCTTAGAGTTTTAAGATAATGCTCAACTTAAATCAGCCAACTTCTAAAACCCTTTTGAAACAGGACTCCGGTGAGAAGGCATCTGGGTTGAAGGGTTTCTTTGAATGACGCATCTTAACTCAAGCAACAAACACTTGAACAGAGTTGAGGACACCAGTCAATTGGAAAGGAGAAGCAAGATAAAGAAACTCTGTGACACACACAGTGAGTACGGGCAGAGGAATTGAGTAAAAAGAAGAAAATAAGAAAACATCACAGAGGAAAAGCAGAAAGAGGAAAGAAAAATGTCATTAAAACAGATACCACGTCGCACAATTTTCCTGTGGTGCCTTGGCTTTAGTCATAGCTAAGTGAACAGAGAATGGTGGTGCGCATGGATTGTTCTGCTGCTGCGACTAATAGCAAAATCATTGCAGTGTAAAATGGAAATTTCAGACTTGATTAATTTATGCATTTATGGACATAGCATTTTTTTTTTTCTTAGGACAATGTTGCTGTGCATGTTGTATCGTTGCGAAATTGGGCTGCTGATTGGTCGATGTCAGAAAACTACCCTGACTCAACTTGCAAAAAAGTACTAGTCTAGAGCAGAGAGCGACTGTGAAGAGTTGAGAGCTGTTCTGGTGATGCAAAGCCAGAACAATGTCAGCACTGAGGGCTGAGTATCTCTGACAATGTCCCTTAAGATTTAGGAGTTAGAGCTGAAGACTTTTCTGTCTCTGAGATTCCAAGTACTTAGTGTCTATGGAGAGTTGGAGGGAAGTCAAGGGCAAAAGGGGCTAGATCTGATGAGACAAATAGGACGTTGCTAACACCGGTATAAGTCGCAGATTTCTTTGAGTGTGAGATACGAGAGCTGGGCGCGGCGGTGAGGTGAAACAAGTAGTTGCTTCACCGCCAATTGATTTGGTTGTTTAAACGGTTTAGCTATTCCAAAGGAAGGATGAGCTAAAACCAGATCAGCTCCATAGTTCAACACTGATTGAACGGACTGGGTCTGAGATTCCAAAAAACTGCTGGCATGGATGACGCATGACAAAAGTTATCGTCAGTGAGACAAAACCTACCTCAGAAGCTGAGGTGAGAGTGCAGAGTGTGTGGAGAAGTCTTACCATCTATGGGAGCCAGGATGACACGGGAGTGGTCGTAGGCGATGACGTTGGCGTAACGATTTTTGGGTTTGTTCACCTCCAGGTTGGAGTGCTCCCAGGTGAACTGCTGACCTGGATCAATGGACTGATGGGGGGCAGAGACAGGCGCAACATGCACACATAAAGAAGTAATCAGAGGAGGCGTGAGAAGAGCTGCGCTTTAACAATACAACCCTAATATCGAGGAAAAGAGGGGGAGAGTGGTGATTTCACTTATACACTTATAGGAAAAATAAATAGGCCTAAAAGAACAAGGCCCTGCAGCAAAGTATTTATTCAGACGGCTTCTTCAGAATACAATATTTCAAAATACATCTCATGACATCCCCCACTGCCTCTTTTTAAAAAAGAATTCTGCATTGATGTGGATGTTTGACTACTTCTACTCAAATTAATTCTTACATGCAATCTATAAGTAAACATCACAGCAATGAGCTATTCATTCTACTTAAGCCGCACCCTTTTTCCTCTCTTTCCACATTCTCCTTTTTTTGTCCTTTCTCAGTCACCATTCCCCTTATCATGATCTCTTCATCTTCAAAGTGTTGTACTTTTTTCCTATTATCCTCGTCTTCATCTTCCCTTTCCTCTTCTGAGCTTTTTCTCCTTAACAATCCTCCCTCCACTTCCTTACTATTTTTCATTGCTTTCTAAATCATCTTTGGCTGTGTGTGTCTCTGTGTGTGTATTTGTGTGTACAGGCATATGAAGATTGGGGTCAGTTGCCTCAAGAATCTTTTCCATATTTTAAAAACTAAAAGCCACAACTGTGCATGTTTCTTCAGCGTGTATTCTCGCTTAATCGCAAAGGAAACACACAAGGCTAACGACCAGTACTAATTTATGTTAGTTATAATGGAGCTTCCTCAAGAAATAACTTTCAAATAGCCTAAATAATTATTCTTAGAATAATGTATCTTCTTTCCTTACAATCCACTATGTCTATGTGGCTGCTTTATATTGAATGGCAGACAGGGCTTGAATTTTATATGATCACCTCTCACTGTCAGATAGAGATGTGCCCTCATGTATAGTCAGGTGTAACTGTAGTTGTGTTTTTATTGCTGTTTGTGTGTCAGATCACCTCATCTCCATTCCCCTGCTCTCTTTCCTTACACTGAGTCCTCATCATTAACCAGACATCCCCACCTCATCTCTCTTTTCTCTACAGCCCCCCCCCCCATCCCCACCACCACCACCATTTCTCCCTCCTTTCCCACATCCAGCTTGGCTTAAAACCAATCAGTCAAAGCCCTGCAGAGCTGTGCTTGGCAAGCCGGGGCGCTGGGTTGAGCGGCCATTCATCAAGAAAATAACAAAATTAAAATTACACTTCTCTATTTAATTTGGTCATTTATTTTTCCAGAGGGGGGCAGTAGAGTGAAGAGGCAGGCAGACGGGGGGAAAGAAAGAAAACAACGGAGCTGAGCCGGTGGTGTAAGGCTCTCTCAAAGCCAAGTAATTAGAAGCTGTAGCTTCAGCTTTGGCATCAAGTCTCTCATCACTCCTCTCCGCTGGATGGAACAAGCTCGTATGCCTGGTATACAGCCTGGATGCGGATTTATGAATAATAGATACCCAAGAAATACTGGATTGCTATGAGAAGTCATTATCCACCAACATCCACCAGCAGGCATGATGGCAGCAATCTTTGCTAGTTTACCCACTTCCTACCTTAGGCTGGCGAGCAGTGAGGCGACAGGCTCTATGATTTAAGGACGGAGAGCAGTGCATATTGCTTGTATGCAAACGAGAGCTGATTCAGCGCTCCTGATTTCTAATCAACTTCGGTGTCATTTATAACTGCTGCAGTCTCAGAGCTCAGACTGCTCAGTTACCCCCTCACACACACACACACACACACACACACACAAAGGCACACATGCACATCTAGCCTGTCTGCTAGTGTGAGGCTCTGTGTAACAATACAGAGATTATCGCAATTGCAGAAGATAGGGCCAAATCTTTAGGTTAAGTTCATTGAAATGTGTGGAAAATTTCAAAGTACTTTTTGGAGTTTGTGGTTATAATTTCAAGGAAAAATGTTTCAGATTAATTAGAGCTTTTCTGGTCAGCCGATTATTACTACTTTCCTCTGCTAGATGAAGTTTAAATATATCTTGGGCATCATGAAAGGACACTTCCTTTTTATTTCTTTAAAGGAAAATGTCTTTTACATTGAAAGATTTTTCTAATTAGTCAAGAAATTAGGAAATTTGATTCGGCAGTCCACAATTGCACAATTGTTACAATTGTACTGTCTAACCAATGCTGGAGAAATCAGAACATTGATTTGTCCACATCGCTTTAGTACCTCCAACTGGATAACCGCCAGTAAGCAGGAATTAAAATTCATAAAAGGAAAGCAGATGCATGGATATACAATATAAAAGGGAAGACTCCCGTGTCGTTTTCCACTGAAGACACAATTTGGCAGAAATCAATACTCTTAAACCTTTGAACCTTGGGCCAGCTCACCTCGTATTCCTGGGAGAGTTTGAGGTTGTCGTTAGCCTTGAGAAGTTCTGTGTGCTCAGCCAGCTCTGAGATAGGAATAGGGGGATGATTCATCATCCCTGTTTACCAGAAAATGGAACCCGGAATTCCATGTAGGAAAAGAAAAGGAGAAACAGGTTATTAGTTCAGTGCAGTGGAACTGGGTTCAGAACGTTTAGATAACAAGCCTTTATTATTGACAGTGTCTTGCGCACACGACATAGAACAATGGGTTTTAGTGATGGGGAAGCTTGCACACAACATGGTGAATGCTAAAAAGAAAAAGGTGTTTTGACTCATGGTGGTGTCGGTACTTGACTGGACCAGGCCAGAGCTCAACAAAGTCTAGGTCTGTTGAAGACAGCTGATTGATGATTTTAACAAACTGGCAAGAGCAAATTCAGCCAATTTAATCAATGATCAAGTTGCAAAGGAATAAATGGGTCAAATGAAAGAATGTAAGAAAAGAAACGTACGTTTTTGACCGGAAGATTAAAGAATGAAAAACTACAGATAATTTTACTCTTTCGACCTGTGAAAAGCATATTTTGACAAAAAGCCTCCATTCTCCTCTTTGAAGACAAACAAAAGTCATATTTGTTTTGAGTCAAACTCCTTCAGACCAAAAAACAAAAAAAACAAATATGAATTGGATAAAAGTCTTGTTTAGTAATAGGTTTGATGAAGTGAAAGAGGAGATATCACAAGTGACTAGGGTGCAAAAGAGAGTGCAAAAATATGATGATCTGACACAAATTCTGCTCTTGAAAATTCACGCTGTTGATATGCTGTCTCTGTTTCAGTCTCACGAAGGCCAATTTTTCTGTTGCCTCTATAATTTTGGGTTTTAAAATCCTCTTGCTCCAGAATCGAGCCCTGACCTGGGGGCAGATGAGAGGGCAGGTGAGAGGGAGGTCAGGAGGTTTAGGAGTGTGAGAGATGCTGAGTGACATGTGAGCTGCTCCATTCCAGTCAGCATGTGCAGAGCAAACAAGATATCTTTTCCACCATCTGCTGGTACCTTCAAACCAGTGAGCTATGGAGCCAAGATAAATAACCCTTACCTTTCAGTGTCAAAAGTAAACATTTTCAGTTTCATTTCCAATATGCACATCTCCCAAATCCTGGAATGAGCTCTTACAAGAGCAAGCCTTCCATATGGTGGGGAAACTGATTTTTTTTCCTCCCCTTTGGGCTTGCTCCACTATTCACTGAATATTGTGTTGCTCTTGTCATAATATTATCAGCACTGCTGTGCACTCCAGTCACTAATCCATTTAGTAGCATAATGCTGGGGCCATGTAATAGAATATGGAACAGCCATGGATTGTGCCTTCTATCCCCTGCAAGTGGCCAAGCAATACATAACGCATTTTGTATTTTTAGAAAGAAGCCTCGTTTCTTCTTGCGTACATAGGGCAAAAGTCAACAAAATCTTGACAACCCTTCCCGAAAACATTATCCGGGCTTAATTGGGCGTGCAAATCGGCATAATCACATTAAGCACCCTTAATTTTCCTTTACCAGTGCTTAATATTCCTCCAAAGTCACAGGGGTCATTGACGATTTGGTTGCTTTTGTTGCACTTAAGATCGCCCCAATTCTGTCTTGACAGTCTTCATTAGTAATGGTAATTTATTTTACACTAAGTGAACAATGTGGCACTAAATTACATGAAGATTACAAAGCTTGTGATACATGAGACAAATGGAGATGACACTGAATGCTGTGACACCCTCTGGACATGAATGGACAAAAAGCACACTCCTTGACTGGAGTCATACAACAGATCTATGACCCTCCTGACAGATAATTTAAATAATGAAACCAATTCTGATATATTGATTTCCCCTATTTGTTTAGCTCATATAGAATGTCTGCTTGAGTTTAATATCTTGTTCTCAAGCAAAGCCTAGCAAGGTATTAGGAGGCCTCTTTATATTCATACTCAAGTTTCTCGATAAGCTCACAATGCAGATCATCTATTATGGGATATTAATTAAAGTTAATTTATATATGGGAATTAAAAACTTCCCCACCTAAATGAAAAGGTATGAAACACTACACATGCAAATAAATGGCACACTCTTCTCTTAAAGAATTAGACCAGAAAGTTGGAGGAAAATCAAAGACTTTGTTGGGCTTTTACAAGTGTATTTGTGTTATTTACTTTGGTGGACAGTTTGTGTGTATTGTTGAGTGTGCATGAACTGCAGACATATCAAAAGTAGAGAATTGATGCTGACTGGTAGACTGCCCCAAAATGACTGCATGTCAGATGATTTAAAAAATGACTTCAATCGTAAGGGGGTTGAGTGGCTTTTTTTGAGTATTTGGTGCCATTTGAATATTTGCACAGCAATATTCAATCCGTCCAGTTCTCTCAGTACACATAAAAAATACACAGTATTGCTTAAGAAAAATAGTTGGAGGCACCTGGTTTGCCCAACGCATTTACTCATTCATGAACCAAAAGCACACACCGTGTTTACCCGAGCAAAAGAAAAGAATGTTTCCAAAGTGATCTGAAACTGAGAGAAGTCATCCAAGGACATATTATTGTTATTCTCTACCTCCTATCCTAAGCTGCTGCCCCTCTGTTTAGCACAAACCCCTCTCTCACACATTTTACAAACCATAGTTACACTTTTATTTACTGCAAACAACGTGATCAGTGAACACAGAAAAAAACAAACAAGAATCTAATTACACATTTTCAATATCCCGATCTGTAGTCAATGTGCCTGAGAAATATGATTTATTTTTTGATAAGCCTAGCTACTACCTCCAAAAGCCTTTTTATGATGCATATTTCCATATGAAAGGGAAGAAGCCTATCTGTGGGTGAGCAAGAAAGGGGGAAAAGGGGAAAGACGAAAATCATAAACTATGCTTTGCTCTCGGATGATTCTTTTGCAGGAAGACTGGATGATCAAATGTTGAGCCATTGTCTGGCACTGCTTTAATTAATTCTGCTTGTTATCTCTAAGCACAGAAACGACCCTGTTGGTTCAGAATGGAAATGGAGCAGTGGTGGTGAAAGAGAAGAGGGAGGAAGGAAAGGGGAAAACAACAACAGGGAACTGGGAGAGAGTAATGACAGATGGTACTCTTTTTAGAAAAAAGAGAACAAACTTCCAAAGCATCTATACATCAACAGAAATGTACATGTTATTTATGCATAGTGGGTTAAAGCACAGCCAACAGCCCAAGTGAATATTGTGACTGGTGTCCAATTAAAAAAAAGGAAGAAGAAAAAGTCAAGTGTACTAAGAAAGATCAACATAATCAGTGCTTGAATTTAGCTAAATCATGTGAAAAAAGCAAGTTATGTATTTGCAAATTGAGGCAAGCAGGGCTCAAAAACGCATAAACAAAGAAAGAAATTGGAAATATAAAAACAAAGCTGGTGCAAAATTTCTAAAACCACAAGGACTAACTTTCATAGTCAAAATCTGCTTCACTCTGAGGACTGCTTAGACCAGAATCTGTAAAGAACAGTAAACATAGGAGACAATTGTTCAAAATGGCTATAATGCAACACAAAGTAAAAGATAAAATGCATAAAAATATAAAAAAGGCCATGAGGTGAGGTATAAAGTCAGTATTCAAAAGTATGGTGTGCATTTGTTGAGGTTTACTTGTCAGACAGATGCAAATATGAAGGTAAAGCAAACTTTTTTGACCTGACCAAGCTAATATACATGACACTATCAGACCTGCTGGACAAAGGTGACAGCCTCTCTTGTATCAAACCTTCTCCGAAGCCCCACATTAACAGTTCAAGAGATTTGGGATTACAAAAATTGATCTCATCTCTAAAGTTCAGCAAGGGTCGTTGGAGGGGTCAGAAAGAGCGAAACAGCTTATTTTTGCTCCTGAAACCGACTCTGAATGGCCTCTTTGTCCATGGCTTGGTGCTGATGCACTCGGAGTGAAAGGTGTGGAAAAGTGTCAGCATTCTCGGCTGACAGCTGTGGAGCCAGAGACGATGAGAGCCAGACCTCAGAGGAGTGCAGCACAAAATCTCATCATCTCCAGAGGCTTGTTCCTCTGAGGCAACGTACAGCGGGGTGTGATGCCCGGGTTGACTTGGGTCTCCCAAACTGTTTAACAACCCCTCGAACTACATCCACTGGCTAAGACTTTAAATTTAGCGGGATGTTGCTAGCCAGCCCATCAAATGAATGCCATGGCTATTACTGAAATCAATTCAACCTAGCTGCACTAAAAATTAGGGCAAAAAAAGCATTTTTGATTCCCTCTACTGAAATCTGATGCCGCATTTTTACATCAGTAAAATTAAAATAATTGTATGAATTAAATAATCGGTATATTCTTTCAGGTCACTATCAAAAAATGAACTTTTTCTATAGATTCAGGATTCCAGAGTAACGAAACAAACTGGTTAGCTTGTGACAGTACTAAACTAAGCGAGTTTACCTTTCATGGATATCTTAGAGTGAAGATGTCAAACCAGACGGCATCAAACGAGTGCAAAAGGATGAAAATGTTGAATATCCCTCTCTCCCTAATTGATTTGTGACAATGACTAATTAAGCCTAGCGGGTGGTGCTCTGATCCCCTGTCTCCAAATGTCATTCATCACAGCAGGGAAGAGGCGCAGGCATGTCTGATTCTGTTTGTGTGCAAGTGATGGTGTGTGTGTGTGTGTGTGTGTGTGTGTGTGATTTGATGGAATTGTGAGGGAGGGCATGGTTGTAACAGCCACTGCTGCAATCTGGAGAAACATGTAAGTTGCTGACACACGCAAGTGACTGGCTGGTGTCGGTTGGATTTTCAAGTGTGCAATGCTGTCAGGAAGAAAACGTTTGATTTGTACATGCCTCAATAAGGGGGAAATTTCTTCGGTCAAAATTGGAGGGATGTAAAGTGCTGCATGTTACTCTGTATCGATAAGTGAAGATGATGGGGGGAAAAAGAGGAAAATATAAAATGTTTATGGAAAATTCAGCTCACCCTGTCATTACTTTAAAGGAGGGTTGTTTTCCTTTGCATGAATTTTAATGATGCAGAGTTGTACACAAACAAGAACATTCACAGGGAGCTTCTGAAGATATTTTAGATTTTTGGTTATAAAGCTAGAGGTTAAAAAATATAAAGTTAATGGCTAGTTGAAGCTGAGAGTCGTACATTGCAGCATTTTAGCAGCAGCAAATGTTGCCTGAAGTGATACAGTTGGTGTGGCAGCAAGTTCCAGCTGAGCATCAGTTTCCAGCAGAAGGACCACAAACTGACTATTTCTGAACAGAAATATTATCTTGTTGTGTATGTTGTTGTAGACAGGGTTCTTAGGAATATGTGGAGAATATAGTTAATAAATTGTTCTGCCATATTTGACAATTAAACCCAAATCAACAGTATATAATCAGACAGACAGACACCTTCTACCCCAAGGAGTTTTGGGATGTCAGTTTGCAGCTATCACATCACCTATGGGCTTTAAAATCCAAAAGCACAAGCACACACACACCAAAAGGTGTAGACACTTCCCCAAACATGTTGCCTCAGACACATGATAAAAATCATATTTCATGTTCCTCAGCACAACAGGACTGGGCACATAGCCGATGTAGCATATGATTTTCTGCCTTCGATATGCCTCGGATAACTGCACTGAGAGGGTGCTCATTCAAAGAATGGTCGCTATTAGCTGATGGGAATGTTCACAAATGCTCACCGGCCCACATAATTGGGCTAAAATATCCGTTCAAATTAAATTCCTGGGGTGTGGAGATAACGACTGCACCTAATTCTGCTGAACAACGACAAGGCTGCAGAATGAGAACACTTGTCATATATCAGTGGAAGTCTCTGCATGAAGCGTGGGATATAATGCAAAAGAAGCAAGGCATTGTAAGAAAAGGTTAGAATATAAGGATGAAATTAACACAGAGAAAGATGGAAAACATTAGAGGTAAAGAATTCACAATTGGAGAGAATACTCTTTGTTATCACAGAGTCACTTATAGGGCTCCTTAACACCAAAGATCAGAATGATGAGGGTGGTGAATTGCAGACCTCTATCTCAATTTCTCTGTCTAAAGGGGCTTGGGCCTCTCCTGTTGTTCAAGCATCTCATGTAAAGAAGTCTGTTTTTTTTTTGCCTGAGAAACAAACCCAAGGCAGCATGACTGGTCTCCCAGAGAAGCTGACGAGAAATGCTCTATTTTGAAATCTGAACCTTTTGATGGTGCAGAGGCTGGCCGGGGATGACAGATGGATGGCAACTAGAGCCAGGAGACAAAAAAGCAATGCCGGAAAAAAAAGAAAAAAAAATAGGTTGCTTTTTCCTCCACTGGAATATTTCCCCCTTCATTAATTAACTTTTTTGGGGGGTTTTCTAGACAATGACAGAAAAATATCATTAAAGTAGATAGAGAGGAAAGGTCTTTTCAATGAGAAAGATGACAATGGGTAGCTATTTGGGATTTTGCCATCTTGTAAATGTTTGATGGAAATTATTGCACGATACAGGAAACGTAAGCAACAAACTTGATTCAACAACGGTTATAATAAAATGCAACAAACTGCAGGTGGAAATGCAGCAAAATCACAAGAAGCTTAACCACCAAAGGACAGTCTGATAGAAACATTTGTTTGTGACAGAGATAGGAGGAAGATACCGGAAAAGCTTTTGGTCATTGCAGCCTAATACTGTATAAAACGTCATGTGATGTAATGTGCTCTGTGGCTAACGCTGGACTCTCGCTTGAATGAAAATCAGAAAGAAGGACATAACAAAAGCAATAGTATGGAAACGCAAAGGAACCAAATGAAATTTTAACCCACTCCCATAAGATAGATCATTTCCAACAACTTCTTAGTCATCATATGTTAATTGTTACTCGGGGACATGGCACAATGCATAAATATGGCCTGCAGGATATCTGTAAGGCCCACTGTCAGATAATGTGATATGAAAGCACTTAATGAACACGACAAATGCTGCATTAAACATTTAACATTGTCTAGTTTCAAGCATATGTTCCACTCTACACATATTAATTCTAGTATGAACAAAAAAGCTTTATTATAATTCTCTGTCTTGCACAAATATGTTTTTTTAAATATACTAACAAGTTGTTATCAAGCAGAAAAGTAACACATTTGAAAGAGGTAATATTCATAATGCTGTGGTGATGTTAAAATGCAATAATTGTCTTAATGTAGATGACGTTCTATCATATTAGGTTCAGTGAATGAAGAATATTTAAACTTTTTTCACCTACTTAGGTGCACAATCGCAATTAAAACTACAGCCTAGTATGCTTGAGTAGTGTGGTGTAATGAAATCTACAGTTAGATTATCTAAACATACACATCATGGCGGTGTTGTGAGTCCGTTCTGTACCTGGAGTTTGGAAGTTAATGCGTCTCATCTCCACGGGATCTGTAGGGTGGTGGGGGGTAATGTCTGCATTGTTCAGTAGACATTTCGTGCGTGGCTCTGATTCTTTTCTTTTGCGGCTAGACAGCAAAGCAAACAGAGGACAGACAAAAGGACAGACATACGAAAAGGGCAGAATAATGTGAGCAATTTTGCTGGTAAAACATTTAGGACTTTGCCTTAATTATTTCAAACAACAGGTAGCTGAACTGATTTAATAAAAAAAAAATCCAAATCATCCACTGGAGCTGTGTGCTCTTTCAACTCCCACTAATTCATTTCAAGAACGTATTTTTGTTTAGTCAGGGTATTTGGTCTTCTCCTTTAAATCTCACTGGATCTAAGTAAAACTACACCTTACCTGTCTGGTTTGCTGTTTCCAGAGAATGCAATAGGAGCCAAATAAATACATAAAGATGGTAAAAACACAACACACAAGGAGAAAGGGAGAGGGGGAGGCAAGAAGAGATATAAATCAATAGAGAGCAGTTTAAAATTCACAGGTGTCACTGCTGGGCTCGCAAAAAAGTGAGATAAAGCTAATCAGCATTTGGATGAGAGGTTTGCATTTGCATGTGTGTATCAGTCGGTGAGAATGAGGGTGTATTCAATGAAATGTAAGTGAGTGCATGCATTTGTGAACGTATGTGTGTGTGTGTGTGCACGGGGGTTCAGATACAGATGGGGAAGGAAAATGTCAGGGCCAAGGGCAGACTTGGGAAACACTATTTACCAGGGAGAGTTGGGGCATGGGGTGGGGTGAGGTGGAAAGAGAGAGAAGACGAAAAAAAAAAAAAAAGAGAGAGATCCAAGGAGAGATGTTACTCTCCCCAACCACCAAGATGTAGGTAAGGCAAGGTCACACAGCAAGGGATCGCCTGACAGAAGCACATGTGTTGCTCACACCAGTCCAGGCCTCTTTAGATAATTCAGGGTTCTCCCATGGTATGCAAGTGCTACCTCTTACACTCACTGTTCAGTTCTGATCTGTATTCACTAAGGCTGGGGCACAGAGCAAATGGTAGAATAAAATTTACAAGGGGACCTTTTATGCATTTCCCCTTTCTCCTGAAAGGATTTCCAGGCTTTAAAGAAAACCCATAAATGATGGCTAGATTATGGGTTGAGGAGTTTGGCTTTAAACAATAACTTAACTTGTGCTAGAAAGAAAAAAAAGATCAAATGATCTGCTTCGATAACTGCTTTGTATTATTTGAAATCACTATCTCTGTAAGTGAAAATGGCTGCTAATAAGAACCTTGGTAGTCAAGTTAGGGAGCATCATCTCAGAGAATCTCATAATTTCTTCTGTATCCAACCACCTCACTTCCCACAATCAAATATTTCCCCTCAGAACCCTTACACATGTACACACAACAGTGTCAATTGGTCTTTGGATGTCAGGCTTCCATGAATACAAAATACTCCTCTCTGAGCAGGTTAGCTCACATGCAGTTATTTCCCAATGATCCAGTTCCCTGGTTACATTACAAATAACTGGTTTAACATTAAAAACCCCAATTCACAGAAAAAACATGTACTGGAGGTAAGGTTTTTGTCACTCCATGACTGGAACCAGCCACAGGATAAACCAGTTTCAACTGATCATGTATGCAAATGATACAGTCACAGTAACATCTTTCAAGATAAAGTTGTTAAACTGGTAATATAAAACATTCAACTCTGAAAAGCAATGCATATTGTTTTTCAGAGTATATATGTATATATATATATACATACATATAAACATACATACATACATAGGTGGACAAGGTTATACACAATTATTATTAGAATGCCAACTCACTTCTTATATAGGAGTATGGCGATGACAATACAGATGATGAAGACCACAGCCAGGACAGGGCCCACTACCCATATGAGTCCATCACTAGGCTCAACTGGCAAAGGGTCACCCACCAGCTCGGGAGTCATCACAGTGTCGGTGTAGGGACTTGTTGCAAACATTTTCTGAACAATCATTAATTAGAAAAAACAAAAAACAAAATCAAAGAACATTTATAATGGTGCACAATAAACAATTAACTGTGGTTTGGCAAATACAGTTGGTAACAGCACTAAATTGGGTACAGAGACAGGGAAATCTTATGTTCTCAGTTTTATCCCAAATTTAAGTGTTAAATGTAAATATAATGACAGGTCCAATGTGTTGGACTTGTATCAATTAAATTAAAGAAAATAATAATGAAACTGCGGGAACTGAAATATTAAATCCACTGGGGAAAAAAAAGTAACTTTTAAGTTGTAAATGAGCAGAATCTGAAACTCACCCCTGCAGTGGCATTTAGCTCAGCCATTAGGAAGAAGACATACTCTTGACCAGGTCTCAGAGGCTTATTCTCACAGGTGCTGTGGTGGTGGTCAGATCCCACTGTGAAGCTGGAAGGAAGCTGCCTGAAGCAGGCGGTGATGTAGGGGTCCGCCTGGTCCAGCTGAGCCAGTTGACGGCGTGAACGACGCTTCGGGATCACCTCTCCCAACAGCTGCCCGATTCACAAGGAGAAACTCAGCTCCTGTTTTCACTTTTGCATCTTATCCCTTTTACTACAATTTACGCAAGCTTTAAAACCACTGGGACTGAATCTCCAGAACAGTTAAGTCTGACCTACATGTTGTTCTGGCTGTTACTTATAATTTGTGGTATTTTTTAAACACGAAATAAGAAAAAACTAACTGTAAAAGCAGACACTTTAAATGATGATCAAATTAGGAAGAAGCAAATCACTAATCAATAACATCTAAATGAATATAGACTGTTTAAAAATATATCAAAACCCCAGATAAAAATAAGATGCAGTTTTGCGGGAATTCAAGTGAGATTTTCCCAAAATAAGTACTTGAGTCAAAATAAGGTGAAAAAGGAACACTTTGAGTATGTGACTCGATTGAAAGAGCTATCATATATTTGAAGAAAAATACAAATCCAAGGCCTCTTTCTGCTGTAACTGCAGACAGATGCAAACACTAAGCAGAGCCAATGTGTGTAATTCCAAATCCAATAGGGATGGCTGCTGTTGATCTGGTGCTCAAGGTGACCCCAAGCTATGGGATCAGTGGGAGAAGAGTGTGTAATTCCCTCGTCTGCATCCTTAGGAGCAGGAATTAGCATAACAGAGATGCACTTAAGTCTGCGTTGCGTGCCCCCATTTCTGCTACATGATGTTGAAAATACGGCTCGCACATGCAACCACCGGCATCACAAACACGGAATCCCTTCCTGAAGATACTGAATTTTATCAAAAGAGGAGCTGCCTCATGCTACCACACACACACGCATCTCACACTTCACTCCATTTGATGTGGAGCCATCTGTAAATTGAAATAAAATATCATACTTTTTCCATGTCCATTTCATCAGGGTTTTTCAGGTTTTTAACAGTTCCTGGAGACTTCTTCAGTGGTACAACTACCACATAAAAGCTCCTGAAAAAAAAAAGATCATGGTAAATGATTTCCTCAGTAATCTATTGAGTTGGAACAGAAAATATGGCCATACTTTTCAGACACTTTCTTTCTTTGATACTTACTTGACATCCTTGCCATTGACTGATGGGAAAGACATGGTGAGCACGCTTTCCGACTCAGCATAGATGTCCAGCTTGGGTTTCTTGGCCAGGATGAGAGGCGCAGTCTGGGCCACCACGCGATGCCGAGGCCCACCATCTACGCTTTCTTGGCAGGTCACCCTGAACTCGTAAGTAGTGTTGTGTCTCAGCCCAGTTATGTAGGCCCTCATCTGCCTGGCATCCACATCAATCTTCTGACGGTTGTACTCAATCTAGAGTCACAGATCATTCAGGAGATGAATTCAGAGGACAGGTGATTTAGAAGACGTATGGTTAGATTCGACAATTAAGAGGGAAGGTGCAAACAAGTCATGGATGATGAAAATCAATAAAATGTACATGAACACATAACGATCCAGTAAAGCTCTATTTCAAACTGAGTTTAAATTGATTTCAAGTAATTTGATTAGATAGGTTCATGACACTTTCAGTGTTAATCATAGCTCATCCAACAGTTGTTTTTCTTTTAAAAAATAAACTCACCGTGCATTTGTATGGGGACGAGTTTTTAGTAAATTTCCAAGCAAGAACTACTGTGGTCTTTGTGGCCCACTTTACGGTGAAATTCTTTGGAACATCTGTAGACACAAGTACAAGAAAAAAAAAGAAAAAAGAATGCATCTAAGTCCAAAATATCAATTATAGTGACCGGAGAAAGGAAAACAAATTAAGATCCTTTGGGTTTAAAAGAAAATAATTATCCCCTGCGTCTTTCCTCTGGGTTGAAGAGTGAATGCAGCAGTGAGCTGTGATTGGCTGTGAGAGGGGCAATGCCATTGGTTAGGACACACAGCACATAAGACTCATGGACAACGAACCCATGGAGCACAAGGGTGTTCCCTTTGGCCAGCCATTGTGGGCAGTGCCAACCCGTCTCACCACCGACTTTGAACCCTGACCACTTGATGATTAGCAACCGACCCATGAACACCCAATGCCAACTGTTCTTACAAGTTTGAGTTGGCACTGCCGACGTGCTGCCACACGGGCAAAAAGACAGACCCAAAACACAACATGCCAACAGTCCTCAGCAGTGCATCTGTGGAATGCCATGCCACAAGCTGTCCTATTCAGGGACAGAGGGATGGGGGGGGGGGGCTTCAGTTGGGGAAAGGGATTTAGGAAGGTAATAATTTTCCAAAAGAAAGAAACAAAAAAAAGTAAACCAAAATCTGATTTAATATAATCGAATGATACTCCTAACACTTGTGGAGTGACTGGTTTGACTGAGCTCCTACCTTTTTTTGGGAACTGGGGTTGTGAGATGGCAATACTAGGGCTGCAAAGACTGACGGTTGTGTCTGACCAAAAAACACTTACCTTTTCATTCTAGGCTGATCTCCCCTTTCTTTTAATGACTGACTATGACTTACTGACTTACGCTTTACCTGGTTTTGGGTTAGTGAAGTGAGTATCCCGCGGCAAGCAAATTAAATAGCCATCTTTTTCTCATTTTGAGGAGACGTGGAGGTGGCAGATAGAGTGGGGGGAGGGGGACTGTTTTCATCTATGTATCATTGAGGATTGTTTTTATCCCATTTCCAACCCTTGCCACTCGGTTGGAAAAAGAAACAGGCAAGCCCTACCTGATGGATCAATGGCCACCGTCCGATACTGGATAGGTGGGCTGTAGGGCCCAGGACCTACACTGGTGTGTGCGCGAATTTTCACGTCATATGCCGAGTTCGGTTTGAGGCTGTTGAGCACATAGCTGGATAGGCTGGGAGGCAAGTGGAGTTCCTGTGGTGCTTCTCCAGTACCCGCTTCTTTATAGGCCAAAGTGTACTCTGTGATGACCCCATTCCTCTCCGCCAGCACGGGTGGAGACCAGGACAGTTTCACTGAGCAGCATGTCACGTTGGAGCCTTCATTAATGTGGGGGTATCCCCCTGGTGTGTTCTCGGGAACAGAGAGTTCGGCCAAAGCCTCTTCCCCAAAGCCCCCTCTGCTCTTGGCTGAGATTTTAAAGATATAAGTGGTCCCCCGGTGAATGTTGCCCACAGAGTACTGGCGCTCCTGGGGAGCGAACTCTAGAGTGGCCAAAGGGAGATCTTTTCGACCAAACTGGAGCCGGTATCCTTGCAGATCCATTCCATTGGTCAGGTCTGGAGGATCCCAGTGAACGACAGCGGATGTCTTTGAGTCTTGAGCCACTGACAGATAGGGTGGACCAGGCACTGTGCATAGAAAGAAAAAAAAGAAAAGAAAAGAAAACTTAATCAATGTTATTAACACATTTTTACTACACAGCTCATGTCATGATGACATGAACATCAAAGACACAAAGAAGATGCAATATAGAGCAGCCAAAGTCTGAATGAATCAGGAAGCATAATTGCATGATATTTTCTATATCTATTTGCCATCCACGAGAGTTTAAGACATCTCTGAGGTAATGATAAACAATGAATAGTCCAAATTTAACCAATTAAAGTCAGTCAGCCTGGTTGTGTTGCATACAAATGAGGCCCATCAGTATGGCCTATGAATTCTAGACGAATCCCTGAAACATTATAATTTCATGATACATGTTAGCTCCAGTTAAAATGCTTTCAGTATTTCAAAGCATCAAAAAAATTCCAAGAAAAGAAGAGTGCCTCTTTCAGTTGTGATCATCATTTGTTGTAATATGGATGATCTACTCATGGGGTCCAGTCACCATTCTTCACAGCGGCCCAGTTTAGTTGCTCTTGCAGATGACACATGTCTCATCTGAACCCCTCTTTTAAGGACCTATTACTCAGATGGAGGCAGCTGATGTTAAGAAAAGCCTTCAGTTCTCAAGCGGCTGTCAAAGCTTTGTGAGAGATGAGTGTGGCCGTATTTCCCTCTTAATAAATTCTTACTTGACTCAACCATCTGTCACTCCTTTCTTGAATATAAAAGTCAGTTTTAGGACAAATATTAGCGAGAGGGGATATGAGATTATTTCAGACTCCAGTAACTTAATTAAGTGCTCGGCTTCTAAAATGGTTAGAACACCGACATAACACTGGTTTCAGACCTAGACTCTTCAGAGTCTAGGTTTCGACATTGTAGAAAATATCCTTTGTGATGCAACTGTGATGAAACTTACTGGTCCAGAAGCATCCATATCAACGTACATGCATTGAGTATGCAGTACTGGCACTACCGTGACTGAATGCCATAAAGGTTGTGCATGGTTTTTGTCTTATCCTCAAACTGCAGGAAGTCTGTTATGTGACATCAGCATTCCTATGCATAGTGCAAATACAACAGGAAAAACAAGCTCTTAAAGGTAAGTAGATCTTTAGGGGGAGCCCATTACCTTTAGCAAACCCCTAGAGCTGTTGACTGGATCAGTAACATTGAGCAGGTAATGAAACATTTAAGTTTTTCCCTGCCTGAATTTAATCTCATGTATCTACATGAGACTGGTAAAAAGATTGACAATCTGTGTGTGTATTTGTGATTCAAAAACCTTGCCAACTGGGTCGACAAACTGGGTCTACAGCTCTCAGCATAAATTTAAAAAGCTGAATAAGCTGAATACAAATTATTAACTCGAGTCAACTGTGCAACATGCAACATTTCATCATTATCTTTAGCTGCTGCAATTATGGATGATTCTTCTTTCTTCAACACTATTCGCCACTAGTATATCTGTTATACCACATTAACTAAGATTAAAAAATAAACTTAAAAAATAAATATTGTGCCTTTGAGCCTTTTCCCCTTCACTGTTTGCATCTTATGTAAGATGGTTTCCAGCCAACTTCATCCTCTATATCAGCATTCCAACTGTATCCAGACGTGTCTGGCTTGTTGCCCGGTATAGACTTAAAGTAATTTGAAGAAGCTAACATGAGTCTAAAGCACCCTGACTCTCTGTTGAATTGTATCATTGCATATGTGTGTCTGTGTTTACGTGCATTGAGCATAAATTCCCTCCACACGGCGTACTTCCTCCTCTCTCATTATGCATTTCTGTTAGCTAATGGTGTTCTTTCCCATGCTGGAAGAAGATGGGGGTGGATGGTTGGAGATGTTGGTTATTCAACTAAGCCTTAGCCTGTGACGGAAAGATGGTGATGCCACATGTTGTTTGGAGATGAATCCTCCTAATAATATTTGGCTACACACTACAGCTCAGCTTGGTGTAATTTAAAAGCCCACTCTGCCTCCATGCTCTTTGTTAATCAAGGAAATTAAATCAGAGATAATGATCCTTTGATTATCGCAATAGTGCATTTTCCATTTTCCGTTCCTGTGCTTTGCTTCTGAAATCAACAGGCTACGCTATACTTCACAGCTTTGGTGGCTCTCACGCCGTTTTATTATTTGTGAATTTCAAACTGTGGCCTGATACATTTTTTTGGGGGGTGTGGGGGAAGGATGAGGGGCACTGAGGCAGCAGATTGGTGTTGGGAGGGGGAGGTGGGGCATAGTGAGAGGATGAAAAATGAGTGACTGAGGGATGATGGAGGCGACTAGGGACAGGGAGCAATCAGCTGCAAGAAAGGGTCCGAGTGTGTGAACATGAGTGTTTCTGGGATTTCTGGACACCTCCACTGGCTCTCTCCTCTCCTCCTCTGGTTCATCCTACCCTGACACACACTCCCTTATTCTTTCCCTCAATTCTTCACTTCTCCCACTTGCACTCTGCCAAATCACCTTCTTTCATTTCCAAACCTCCACCTCATCCCTCCCCCATGTCCATTTCTGGGCTGACCCCGGTTCAATCCCTCCTTGTGGGACTGCCGGCACGTTTCTCATCAGGCTTCGGTATTAACAGCCTGCTGTTGACATTCATCCAGCCTAACTGAGAAAGGGGCAATCAGGTTTTTTTTCTCATTAACCCCTCTCCTGCGCTCACCAGTCGTGGATTCTCATACTAATGTACACAACAAACACAAACACAACATTTCACACCATGTGGACAGGGTAAGATAATAAACGGAAAACTTTTAATCAAGTCACCGTGGATGTAAGATTTACAGGAGGAAAAAAGAACAGAGATAAAGCCATGATTACTGCATATCCGCAGGGACTTAAAACATCGAGGGACAAATCAAGAGCGGAAGAAGACCTTTTTTAAGCTTAAAGGTCAAATCTTCAGTTACCCAACTGCATTTTCAATTTCCCTTTTTTTTAATGTGGTCTGCTTATAAGGGCTTAGGTCATTGTCAGTGGTGTTTAACTAGTTTAAGCAGAGTAGCTTCTACCGGCCCAATAAAGACTTCTCACAGAAACTTGCTTTATTTCGAAGAGACGATTGGAGTTGGTAAAATGAATTGTATACTTAGCTAATTATCGCACGTTCATAGAGCACAGTATATTTGCATGTAGAAAGTATCATGAGGCAAGGCGGCAGAGTTCAAGTAATCAAAGTCTAAAAGATCAAAAGAGCAGGGTACCAAACCAGTGTCTTTAGAGAAACATGGCTAGAATAAAGAATGGCTATATAAATCTACATGCATTTTACTTTTGGTAATGTATATAAATAGTTCTTCAAGATTTGATCCATTTCTTTAATCTATTCAACTCAACAAAACCAACATGTTATTAACTCCATTTAAGTAATGATTTATTTAATATGAAATTTGACCACAGCTATTTACTAACCATCTTAAATGAATCCCCCAAAAAATGAAAGATAGCTTTCCCTCAAAGAAAGCCTATTCTCTTCCTTCTCCTTCTCATCTCTCCCCCATTCCCTTACTCTATTTATCTTAGCCTCTGGCCTAAAACATTTTTTTAACCCTCCATAAAAATCTTTCATTTACAGAAAAAAAAAAGAAAAGAAAAAAAGAGGCTTTCCCCTGAGAGACGAACAAAAAGCTCTGGCGTGGCCTATCTCTTAGTCGATGCCACAAGAGGAAGAGGAGTGACAGCTTTCACTCAAAGCACTTTGGCAGCGTCACGGTCCTTGACACCAGTGACAGATACGCACCTGCCAAGGATCCATAAAATTCACCTGCATCGATGTGCGTATGATGGGTTTTGGCAATGCATTATGTGTGTTCCGTAGAGAGAGCCGTGCCCCGGCATAGCCCCACACACACCATTTACTTGCTGAATTCCATTAGAAGCTTATGAGTAAATGGAGGTGTACATACAAACAGGCATAAGTGGGTAAGTGTGCATGCAAAGGTTTGCATATTGGCTCTAAAAGGTAAATGGTGCAGGTTTGTTTGATCTTGACCTTATCTTGTTTGATGGAAAACATCTACATAGATAACATTCATGCAATTGAAACAGGCCCAGGTCCTTTAATGCTGTGCTCACCAGTGCGGCTTACAAGAGGGAATAAATAAATACACGCTTTTGAAGAGTGAAGGCATTGGCCTCAAATATTTAATTCCTATAGCCAAAACTAAAGACCCAACAGGGGTTTTCATGCTGTCACAATCTGTCTACAAAATCTCAAAGTAACTGAAATGAAGCCCTTGATCTCTGAAAATCTGTGGATAGTCTTCAAACATGACTCAAATGATAAAAGCAACACTCATATCAGTCAAAATCCACTTCACATAAGATGTGACTCACATAAAATGCGGCAGCTAAAAAAACCTCCACATAACAAAAAGTGCTTTGTTTGAAGACTAATCACCTCTCTCTGAATGTCAAGAAATCACAGTTATCCATGTCTGCTTTTCATACCTTTAAGATATTAATGATAAATGGCAAACACATCAACTTGGCTCAAAGGGTTATAACACCACTGTTAATCAAATAAAGCAGCGGCAGAACTTAAAGTTCAAGTCACAGATGAGCCAGAATGATGAAGAAGCCTTAGGCGATGAAACCTTCAGTTACTGACTAAGAAAGAAAATGCTATTTACAGCGACACGAACAGAGGTTATTTGACCAAACAAAGAAACAAATTATTAATCTCTATTCTGACCTGCCCCTTTGGTCACCACCAGTTTGGGCTTGCTTCGAGCGCCATCCCCCTTGGTAGTGTATGCCGCCACTGTGATGGAGTAAGTCGTGTCTGGCTTGAGACCTCCAATGACCATTTCCTAAAAAAGACATGGAAGAGAGGAAGAGGTAAATGTTAAAAAGTTTTTTGAATTTTTCATGATTTGACCCCACTTTGTGCTGCTATGACTGCCATGTGCTGAATTTAAATCTAAATGTCTCCTGGTTCTCTTTATTAATTTTCTAGAGGCATGCATAAAATGTAATGTTTCCCCTTTTGTAATGGGAGACCATTCCATTACATAAATCCTGAGAGTTGGCTAGGGAGGGACATTATGCATGTAAATGGAAAGTGGTCGTGCCTTTTTCCTTCAGTAATATCCCAATCAACAACTTAACTTTGATAAATGCTGCCTGAATACATCCTGCCCTTTCGCTAGCATTTTTTACCCAAGCCATTAAGTTTCCTTGAGTCCTCTTCAAAGAGAGGCTTCCGATCAATTCTAATGAATCTTTCAAGGGAGCTGGTTCGAACGAATGCAGAATGAGGTTTTTAACAGGCAGGTTGGCAGAGGGATGGGGGAAGTCAATAAAGGTAAATGAGCTCTAAGCACCGCCTTGCACTTGACTTGCTATTCATGTAGCACAAATGGACAGAGGCTTCAAATCTGGGTTCAAAACAAGCGTGATTTAAAAAGAAATCAGAGATGTAAAGCGTTAAACAGAGGCATTCTGCAAAGTATGGTCCTCTAATGCTGAACCTACTCACCACATTGAACATAAAAGAACACATGCTACGATTTAACAAAATTTTGGAGGAAAAAACAAGCACACATATCACCTGAACATATAGAAAACATTATTGTTTCTGCACACAGCAAGACTCAACTAGCATTAGCATTCCACACAGTGGCCAGTGGGTATTGCATCAGGCAGCTCACTGGCAACAGATGTTTGCCCTATTTTCGCAAGTGGCATGGAAATATAATGTGGAGGGTGACTGGTCAGGAGGCTTAAGCCAAGCTGCTGAGCCACTTTGGTGTCCAAACGCAACAAAGAAATATTGTGAAATCAGTGAATCAAACTAAGGTGATGCAATAGCCGCTGTTTCAGGCACAAAAAGCACACAGGTTGAATTTCATACTCACATATTCAGCGACATCGTCCGTTTCCCACTAAACCCCCCCCCCCCGCCAAAGAGGAGATAGCAGGAGAGAGAAAGAGAAGAGAGCAATATACTTTTAAAAAAAGAAGTAGGAAGTAGAAGTGGAAGAAATAGGATTGTCTGTAAGACGGGGCATTAGAGGTTTCAGAGGAAAGCATGGATAGCAGAAATAGGTCACTCGTTTTGGGTGGCCAGGAGAAAGAAAAGCTGCTTGAAGCTTTAGAGAAGCTAGAGAAAAAAGAGAATGATGTGCATCTACTGGCCCAAGAGCATTCACTGATAACTAAAGACAGTAACAAAAATCAGAAAAGGCTTTTCTGACAATTATGACACTAAAGCTTTCCCAGCTTCTATGAAAAAAATAGATTTATGTCAATACACTGTTTATGTGCCACAACAATATAAGTGATAAAGTGGTCGAGCAAATTCTTTGGAATTATGATGATAAAAAGATGTGACAGTGCTCTAAAGTATTTAGCTAAACTGTTGTTAAAAGTTAACAGCTTTTTAGTTATTCCTTCGGAATAATTCTAACACAGCATTCAGAGCATTTTGTTTTTATGTCGCTCACCCTGAAATATGTCTGGATGACTGTCACTGTGCAGAAATATTTCATAAGTTTCGATCAATCTTTCAACATTCTCATTCCCTCATCTCTGGCTTTTTTCTTTTTTCTTTAGGTTATTGTAGGACACACTTCTAAATATTTACTGGATTCCATCTTAAAAGCAGGAATTCCTCGTCAACGCAATGACAAAAGAAAGTAAAGAGGAAAGGATGAGGGGAGCTTGGATTATACTTGTTGAGGACTGAAACAAAACGATTATCAGAGCAACAAGAAATGAAATCTAAGAGCACAGAGCCCCAATGTTTTTTCACATACACCAGAAAAAAATCAGGGTGAGGGTCAAGAGGGCAATTTATAGTCTGAATAAGAAAAACAATAGTGCTAAGTATCAGTTCACAATTTGCTAGAATACATCTTATGTCACAAAATTCTAATCGGGAAACTATGAGAATGTCATACCTGAGCATCTGCAAGCATGACATCCTTGATGAGCGGCAGGCCCCGTGACTCCCCGTTTTCCACACGCACATAATGAACCTGGTAGCCACGGATCTGACCATTCTGCTTGCCAGGTGTGAGGGAACGCCACATCACCTTAATCGCAGTGGAGTTGAGGACCTCCACCTCCACCCGCCTCGGTGGAGCGCCAGGCACTATATAGAAAAATAGAACGCAGACATTGGAACTTACTCGTCATTTGGGGGTTGTCATTTTGTGCCATATTGGTTAAATGTTTAAGAGAACATGCTTCATCACTCGAATACAAAAAAAAATAAAAAATTTTGATAACACTAGCTCACAGATAACCTCATATAAATGAAAAATTCATTAAATATACAATCGACCAGAATAGTAGAGGCAAAACAACAAATACAAACCATTGCATCTCACTATGGCACATCTCCCATCACATCCACACACAGCATTACCACTGTCTCCTGTCACCTCCAGCCTTTTATCATGTGTCTGAATGTGGGAAGCCTTACCTTTCAGTCATAATGACGACCTTTATGGCAGGCCTTACTTCCGAGCTATTTGGGGTGGCATGTAATGTCCCCTTCCCAAGATTGATGTGCAATGAATAAATCTATCCCTCTTAAACTGCTTTCTTTTGCTCCTTCACAAACACTTTGAGTGCCTTCTTCACCTCCTAAATGACAACCCCATTTCCCCTCCGTTTTGCACCAATTCAGTCTTGGCTACCTTTTAACCCTGAAACGTATTTCTTCAACAGACGTTTCTGTCACTTGCTATTATTGTAATGACACTAGTATATGTGTTATGGCTATTCACCTCAGATATTTCTAATACCCGCATGTTATCAACCTTGAGATAATCTTGTGTTGAGCATGGAGTACATCAGTGTCAGAAAATTCCTTAAAAAGCTGTGGTAATGGATGTGAAAAAGATTATGGAGAACAGAAGACAGTGTCAATCATTCATCAGTGACTCAGATCTCCCATGACATGCTCACATCTTCCATTCTCAGTTTGTCATTCATTTTCTGCCACCCAACCCAGCTGAATCATTTTTATGTGTAGCTCTGCCGTAAGACAGTGTTTTCTACAAATATGTTGACTTCTCTTTTTTCTTTCCCCCTCCTACATGTTCCAAACTGGAACTAAACAAATGGAGTGGAAGTCAACAATGTCGATCAATGTGAGACGTAGTTGGCCTTTCTTCCAAACGACAGTCACCCAGGCATGTCTTCTCAATTTAACAGCTTAGTTTAACACTCAAAGAATGACAGCCTGTGGCACTCTCACTTTGCCTGAGTTGCATGCTTAAGGGCAATTTCTGACCACAGTGAGAGAAATGCTCATTCGGTGTCAGTAACCTGATTTTCCAGTTCAGTAGATTCTGCTCTAATGGAAGATATACGTTCATCTATATCTTTAACATCATGCCTACATTCTATTGTGGTCAGAAATGCATGTGCATAGGTAACTTTGTGCTGAATATAAATGTTACTATGTGCTAATGGCTCTCATCTGAGCAATGGGAAATTTTTAAAGACTATTACATCATGGTATAGATTCTCATTAAACCAGTTCATCTTTATCCTAAGAGTTTGAGTAAAGGCAAATTGACTTTTTCATGGATCTTTTAAACGTTTAACCTCTAATCCGAAAGGCTTCTTCAGTTCTAAACCTCTGGTTGGGGTAGAATTGGCTTATAAACAAGGAGGGCCATTGTAGTCACAAGAAAACTGCAGTTCAGTGACACGCATGACTATAATGATCTTGAAATCAGCATCAAAATACAGCTTGAGTTGTCAATGTAAGCCCCGGAGAATCTGTAAAATTGTATAGATTTAGCACAGGTTTAATAATTAATAACAATTATTTAACGAAGACAACAGTGGGCAGAAGACTGAGAGGTACCGGTATGTGTCTGTCTTGTCAGATAGAAGGCAGATAAGTGTCAACTTTGCTTTACACTTCAAGACAACGGGGGGAAGAAAGTTGAACAAACTGGATTTTCTATTTACGTTCACATTAAAGCTTCCTTTATTAGGATTAAACAAGGCTATGTCCGTCTCTGGCTGGTGTGAAAGTCCCACATCTGTTTCTTATAATTTCTAACATTTCCACACAGGTAGGCCAATGGTGAATTAGAATTATTAATACAATTCATTGATCCACCTGAGTTCAATTTATGTTTCATTCATTTATGACCACAACAGACTGTATGTATAAAGTGTGTACAAATACCATATTTTACTGAAAGCATAAAGTCATAAAAAACACACAGTCAGAAAATACAACAATTATTACTTAATCTGTTGAAGAAGCTTTAACATACCGTCTTCATCTGTCCGACAGATCAGGGCCTCACTCTCTGGGCCTGACCCAATCATAGTGGAGGCAGACACAGTGACACGGTACTGGGTCCACTTCTCAAGTCGCTGTAGCAACACCTGCTCTTCAGTTGGGGGCACCACGGGCTCCTCTATGAGATCCGTGTTGTCACCGGCCCCTTCTGATGGGCCAACCACCTGGTAAAGCACCTTATACCCCACCAGGTCACCATTTTGACTCTCCACAGGTGGGGGGCGCCAACTTACCAACAGGCTGGTAGAGCTGGTGGTGCGGCACTTAATTTCTTGAGGGGGAGCTGAGGGTTCTGGTGAGGGGAATAGCACAGGAAGGAAGGTGGGAGCAGAGGATGAGGAGGATTGGAAAGGGGGAGAGAGGAGTGAAGAACAAAAAATAAAAAGATGGGAGAGATAAAGAAAATGAAAAAAAGGAAAAATTCAAAACATAAAAAAGGAATAATGAAAATAAAATTGTGAAAAAACAGACTCTGCTGTAAAAAAAAGACGAAAAAATAGAAACAAAAACAAACATGACCACGCAAATGCCAACTTAAAAGGCATTAATGGACACAAAACAATGCACAATACTGAGTAATAATGAACCTGAAGAGCTATTAGTTAGTTTTAGTTAAGGTTTCAACATTGTGAAAGCAACTTGGTTGCAACACGACCAGTAAGACTTGTCACACAACAGTAATAACTTAATCTTAGCAATATCAGAACAGGGATAGCATTTAGAATTTAATTAAAAGATTCATTTAAACACTGTCTATATTCTCAAAGAACATTTTCAGGAAAATCAACTTTAATCAGAACAAGCAATAAGCAAATGGGATTGTGTAATCTGTTCTTTTTTGTCTGACATGTTTTTTATATAGTGTTCAAACCTACATATTCATATACAGTCTCTAAATCAATCATTACCAAGTTCTTATAAAAGTTTCTTGTGATTTCCGATCTTGATTAAGCAAATCCAGGTCATTATTACATTTTTAAGAGGTAAGTATATGGAGACCATAATAAAAAGAAAATGATATATCATCAGACAAAAATATATCCTATTAAAGGTAAATTAAGGAGGGAACTTAAAGAAAAAAGGTGGATACAAGCAGAATGTTCTGATTTCAAAACAAAAGGCTTAAGACATGAATTATGAACAAAAAAAGTATTTAGAAATAAACTCTTTTTGAAATGATGTGACACAAAATGAAGATTCAGAAAGAAAAATATAACTCAGAAAAACAAACTTGAAATTCAACTTATAAAACAATTATTTTGAAAAAGGTTTAAAATAAATCACAAGCATTGTCTGCATCATACGTACCTGATTTCCAAAAAATACAAAATTCAAAAGACTTTCTTACCACCAGCACCTGACTACAGAGTGCGTTCACTCTGGAATCAGTGAACAGCAACACTCTCCCTTCCTGAAAGTATCTCGTCAATTTTGAGATCAATTCCTGTTCCTGAATCAGCGAGCACCTCCAATATTTACCCACTTAGAGGTTAGTTTGGAACCCACTTTGACATTGATGGAAGGGAAAGAGTTGGCTCTGTGCTGTAAACGGGGCTGTTTAATTCTGCATTGTTGGGCCTGAGGGTCCACAAGACTGAGAGGGGAAGCCAAAGGGGGAAGACTGACTACCATGATATTGTATGCTTGAGAACTTGGCCAAGCTTACAAATTCCCTTCCTCGTTGACAATTTATAGAAACAAATCCCATTTCATAGCCTAGTGTCTTTGTATCTTTGTAACGTTTGCTGCCATTTTGAATGTGCCAAGACACATGAATAGGGAAAGAAACACTGAGAGTTTGTATGATGGCAATTCTTAAGTTTAATGATAGTGTTCTATGTGTAATGTCAGTTTGTGAAGTACAGCTTTAAAATTGAAAATAAAAACTACAAGTTTTAAGTATTAAAAGCTTCCATCGAAGGGAAACTGAATGTTCCAGCTCACAAAAATAAGACAGGGCCAGTTAGAAAAAAACGCTGCTCTGTGTCCAATGGGCTTATTTACTTAAGGACTTACTGGATTTTGAGCCTTTCAGCTTCTTTCCTTCACTCACATTGTATTTGCAAACTCTCCACATCAAAAATGATTGCTCAGTTCTCAATCTTTGAGGTGCAAAAATGGCAATGGATCTGACAGGGACCAGGCTATCACAGTGCACAGGCATCCCTATGACAGATAGCGGTTTAAGAGTGGTTGGAGCACAACATTGATAAAGTGCATATCCCACCAAGGCCAGCAGTAGGATTATGGATATAGAACTATACAACCACAAAGGAAGTAACTCAGCTAATGCCTCTCTTGAAGTTCTTTCAAACCCTCCTCAAAGAAGTTTTCCTAAATTCTATTTGACAAATAATTAGTCATGTCTGCATCCATATCTCTCTTTTTTTATTTTTAAGTCTGTTGTGATGTGACCAGGAGATCTGGGTATCCTCGGGTGATACACCTACCGGTAATTATAATAACTACTTTTTCATTAAAGGTGTTTTTTAGCGCAAGATCTACATTGGTTATGCCAAATTACTGCAGCAATGTCCATTACTCATTGATAGTTGACAACTATAAGAACAGATGCGGATGATGTTTTTTTTTTTTTTGTCAGAGTTAAAGCACATGTCTTTGATTGGACTGAATTTTATCTGAAACCTCAAATGACAGGGTGTTTGTATTTGTGGATTATCATGGAATTAATCCCTGGAATGCCAAATGGCCATGGTGTAGATGCACAAATATTCCAATATATCTAAAAACCTTCTGCAATTACAGTAAGTGGGAGAGCTAAACTGCTTGTTTGGTTAAATACAGAGGATTTAGAATCTGCCACTTTAATTTCAAAGATAGCTCTTGACTGGCTACTGGCAGGTTCTAGGTATAATCTAAATGTGTAACAAAGCCTGACAATCCAAGGCCTAGGCTCATGGCTCATTGGAAAGCATGAAATTAATTCTGACGCTATGAAATAGGATTCTTATCTGCCACTCTGTGGTCCTGAAGCCCTCCAACACCCACTCCCCTGGTCTATCTCAGATCCTAATACCATCCAGTGTAACTGGGTAACCGCTAAAAGAAATACGGGGAGCTGCCCCAGCTCTCCGCTTGTGGACCCATCGCGACCATGTCTGAACGTTCTCACAAAAAAGGTCTCAACCTGGCATGAAAATGTGGTAGCACACCGAATGGGGCCTTGTTTCCTGATGAGGGCCACTGTTGCCAATTCCTGTAATCATTTAAATTGTTTGGAGATTTTACAAGATATTTGGCATAAATCCCGATGGGACAGTTCAAGTGCGAACAAAGATTTTTACTGTTTTTTGACTGAGTGGCACCCATTACAAGGCTCCTGGTAATGCTACTTGGACTGAACACTTCAACAAACTGATCACATTTAGCAGCAATTGCATTCAAAGACAGTCTGGAAAATCATGTTATTCTCTGTGTCTTTTCATTCTGTAGCACAGTGCTTCAGTCTGCCAGATATCACCACCAAACCAACTCCAAGCTACATATTTTAAAATCACGAATCTAAAGGTCTATTGTGCTCTAATGAGTATGGGCCATGTATTAGTTTTACGTTAGCAAGAACAAGCTTGTATTTATTCAGCTTAGTAACACGTTTTACTGTTTAACTGTGATAGTGCTTATGTTAAAGAAAGGCATTCTTTAATGTTTTGCATATTTCCTAAGAAACTGCCTAACACATTGAAGAATATAAACCTATGCTAATTCCATTTTTCAGCCTTTCAAAGAGAGGCCATTAGATCTTAGAATTGTAATAACATATGTGATCCATCCTCTCCCTGTGTTTTGTATTTGTTTGTGTGCCTGTTACCCTGCCACATTACGTTTCTTTTAAGTGTCTGCATGGCAATGCAGAGACTCCTGACTTTAGTGATGCTATAAAACCTTAGATGTATTAGCTCAATAAAAAAGGCAAAAAAACAACAAAACGATAAACTACATTTCTAATTTGTGCTGTTTCAGAAAAATAAAGCAATGCCAAGTAATAATAAAGTAATAAAGTAATTATAAAGTAATAGAGTAACTCTATTAATTGGTTGAAGAATGAGATTTGGCAGACTGAATCCCTGAACCACACAATCACTTACCTTCAAGTGTCCAAAAGTTAGATTTGTGTTTGAAAGCATCTTATTTAGTCTGACTTTGACTTTGACTTTTCAGACTTCAGTACTGACAGAGTGACGGTTGTATTTCCCACCTGCTTCTACTAGGATGTTTTTTCTCCATTACTCTAGAAGTTGAGGAACCTATCAACTCTAAGGTAAACATATTGCAATAGAATGACACAACATATTTATAACATATTTATAGGATTCCATGGTGTGCAGGAAGACGTAATCAACTATGTGACTACATTCTATGTCTCCTGTTACTATATGGATGGGCAAACTCAGACCCTTGAGTTATACCAGTCCCCTTCATAATGGTCAAATGGCTGCACTCGTGAGTATGTGATGCTCTGTTAGCTGTGTTGGAGTCACTTCTGTCTAATGTGGACATGGGCTCATACAAGAACCAAATAATTAGCTAAAATTGGGAAGAACGTCAAACCAAAGCTCAATATGCAAAATTGAAAACAAAAAAGATCCAACTCAAGCATTATAAATGGAAGAGGATTTCAAGTGTGCAACGTGAAGTCAAGCCATTCCAAGAAGTGTCTTTGTTCCAATGCACATGGAAACAAGTAGAAGGGGGAGCTGAAATAAGGTGATGCAAGAGAAAGAGTTGGACTGTATTCAATTCCATCTGCTTGAGGTTTACGGGTCAGCCACACATGTAAAAGCAAAGGCAAGGACACTAAAGACACACACTGACAGGTGAGGTTATGCATCGACATTTGAGAGATGCCAAGACTGCAATGGTGATGGGTAAGCATGCTTTGTGAAACAATGGCTTCTCAGCAGCACCCCAAGTGGGAAAGAGTGAGTGTCACATGTGAGCGGCACCCTCCTCAGTGACTGGACAATGTCTATGGAGCTCTGCATCCTAACAGTGACGGAAAGAAGAGCGAAGTGATTGTTCCAGCCCCCCCTGCACGCACATGTGGGTGCACAGCCAACAAGTTGCACTGGTAGAAAACAGAAAATGTGTTAAAAGAAGTCTGCTCCCACCGCCACGGCTCTCCTATATGACTGGTTTCACACTTTTAATATCATTCAAATGCCAGTCTGTGTATTGAAAAAAAAAGCAGCCAATGCAACAATATGATTTATTTATTTCAGTAATATATCAAAATTCATGATGTCTGGCTCAGATCTGCCCTGAGTCTCATAAATAAAGCCACAGCCTCAGTGTTCTTTACCTTAAATGTGTTGCATATTTTTGTTCAGTGTGGACCTATGAGATACGAATTAGGAATTACCAGAATAGCTTATTTCGACTATTAGATAATCATCTGGTACCATTACAGTACATGTATTTTCCATTATGTTCTTACCCCACCAGCATTATCAACAAACTGGTCCAAACAACTAACCCTGGAACTCTGAGTGCTGCTCAAAGCCTCCTCATTAGAACTTAACAGTTAAGTCAAAGGTAAATACTCTTCAAAGACATATATTGGTTCTGTTTGCAGCTACTATCTGGTCATTTGAGCCCTATATGCCTATCCATATAAATATTAGTCTAACAAAATAGCATCTGCATTGTTGTCACTGTGATGTGAGAAGTGCTTGCATTATGTGCTCAGTGATATCCCTCATCATTTTCCAGGTGCTCGGTCGATGTTAGTTTAGTTATGTTCCTGCTATTTGTTCACTGAAATAAGCACAGAACTAATTAAAAGTACCACATTTAGAAAGGCATACAATAATTTATATTTCGTTTATCTGATTAAAATCGTCTTGAAATTCCAAAACCTTAATACGTGCACAGTTCAAATGAGAGCCTTGACGGTCTTTAAAGGAGAACTGACATCTGTTTTGTGTTGGTCAAGTAGTAAGAACTATTGAAAAAGGAAAAGTAGATATGAATCAAAGTGTGAGGGGAAAAAAAGAAAAAAAAATTACAAAAAATGTCAGTCCACATAGACCTAATTTCTTTTGACAGAGCTGAGCACATGTATGTCTTTGTGCCAGAGCCAACATAGAAAATAACACAAATACTGTAAAAAAAAAAAAAAAAAAAGAGGCAGTAACCCCCCCTTAAAGCTCCCCCTAGTGCTGGTGGCTCCTTGAACCATAGCTTCAACTGTAAGTTCATAAATTCCACCTCATAAAAAGTTGGAAACATTAAACCGTAATGAATGTAAAGAAACAGTAAACCACACATTTCAGCAAGAACATGAATACAATAATATGTTAAAGTCAATCTCATAAAGGTTTGAACTGGGATAATTTCTAGAGAAAAATCGAAGCAAAAAACAGTCATAACCGGAAGGCAATGAAGTCGTTGACATCAGAGGAAAGTTTGAAAGCTTAGGTCAAAAGGAAAGAAAACATACAGCTCAATTAGAAAACATTTGGTAAAGGCAAACCCAAGGGGTAAAATAATCATCCCTGAATGGGGAAATCCTCTGTTAGCTTAGCTGCAAAGAAAATAGGAGATAAATAATCAATTAAAAGGCTACATACTGGCTTGTAAGGTCTTCTGTGAAATTTCATTTGTGAAGGCTCCAATGCCTTTGTTTGAGATGGCTGCCAAGGAGAAGCGGTACTCTGTATTGGGGCGGAGACCTTCCACAACATATGATTTTGTAGGTCCAAAGGTTTTCTTCATCTGCTGATTCAGAAAAAAGTCATTCGACCCCTCAAGATTGTTCTCCAAGCAATAGACAGAGAGCCAAACAATCACTGAAATTCTTACCCTGGTGCCAAAACTGCCTTCTGTGTAGCGCAGTTCGTAATTTATAATTCCCTCTTTATCATAGGCCGGTTCCCAGGTGAGTTCAATGCTGGTGTCAGACACGGCACCAACCTGAAATTTGGATGGTTGACCTGGAACTGAGGAGCACAGCAGGAGACTCGTCATGGGAAATTGGTAACAAGTCACAGAAGTTAATATTCTATATGTTGGGGGTTACATCAGAATGGTTTTATTCAGTAAGAAATGTTTGTGTAACCAAGCATAAAATTTATATTTTGCTTCTTAAAGTTGAACTTTTCTACAGCACGAAACGGACAGTTTCATTCTTCACTGCGGCTAATCTACTGGTATTTTCTCATTCTTAATTATCATCGTGGTCAGTGCAGTCTGGCCTGCGCCAACACCACCAAGTTAGCCAAAATCTTCATCTCCTTACCTCCTTGCACTACTTTCACATGAATGGGCTCTGAGAATGGTCCGTCACCCACGGAGGTGAATGCAAGGACTCTGATGGTGTATGTCTCTTGAGGGACTAGACTCTGGATAGTGGTGATGATGCTGTCCTGGACATTATGGATCTGCCACAGACTCATGGGCTGGGAGTCGTCCATCGTGTAATAAACCCGGTAGCCCTTGATCTGCCCGTTGGGCTCCTCTGGTTCTTCCCACTGCACCATCATAGTGTTCTGAGGAAGAATCTGTGCCTTAACATTTCTCGGTGGGCTTGCGGGGGCTTGTTCTCCTGTGCGGGTTTCAACAGGCTCACTGGGTGGACCCTGGCCGATTGTGTTGACGGCAGAGACACGGATTTCGTATTCCGTGTTGGGGTAGAGGCCCCCGATGCTGTAACGTGTAGTGGTGATGGCGTCTACCGTCTCATACTTGCTGTCTGGGGACTTTGCCCTATACTGTATGAAGTAGTAAGTTACAGGGTCTGGGTTTCCTGAGTCCCATGTAATGGTCACACTAGTTGCAGTGGTTTCAGTAACCACAGGGGTACCCGGAGGCTTGGGGAGAGCTGTTGTTACAACATGAAAGAGAAAAGAGAGGATAAAATCATTTATGATCATAGGGGCCGTTAAACTTTTAGACAAAAACAAAAAGCTTGGAAATATTTTTCCTAATTGCTGTGGAACCTAATAATAAAGCAGACTGTGATAGCAGCTTACTCTGTAAAAATAAAACAAAAGAAAAAACAAAGCAAACTTGATAACCTTCTCATAATTATACTCCTCATAGGCATAGTTATCTCTTACATTTTACTGTGATCTGGGCCACCGATTCGATGATGCCAAGGCTGCTCATGGCGACACAGGTGTAGTTGGCTGACTCACGGACGCTGCTCAGTTCAAGAACATTTCTGCCCACTGGCATCTCATCCTCTGGTGTCAAATCCTCAGTGTTCAGCATCCACTTGACATAAGGCATGGGGGACCCCACTGCCACACATGTTATGTTCACACTGCCGCCTGGCATTATTTCCTGACTTGTTGGTGGAATGGAGAAGCGAGGAGGCACCCGCCGGACTGGGAGGAGGCATGAGGAAGGAAAGAGGATGACAAAAGAGGGCAAGGGTGTCAGAAAAGAAGAGAAAAAAAGAGAGGTAACAAGAGAGGCCGATGAAAATGGACCCTTCTCAAGGAAATACTTAACACAAAAAGTTCAACATGATAAATGTGAACTGAAACACAAAATAAAACTAGACTTTTGAAAACATAACAAATATACAAATAATGATAAGGAACTAAACTAACAAAATTGCTCGAACAACAATATTGATTAACAATTAAGCAACGATTCATAGCAACAAGGTTCCATTGACCAATATTTGACCCATCACAGCACAATTAAAGACACAAAAATCTATTATAAGTTTCTCATCTTTGAAACTTAACTGCTGACATATAGACAACTACAGCATAACCTGATCACAGAGTATGACGCTGTGTAGTAGAGGCCATGTGATAATGCTATCACATAAGCCTAACATGGCAACCTGGAACTTCCTGTTCTTTCAGGTTATCAGGCCAGACAGGAAGTAGGCCCTTGCAGGCTTGTCCCACAGCACAGGAAGTGTAAGGTTACTGATCTTTCGACCATCTCTGTGAGGTCTCTAACCACATTCTAGCCTGTGTTTGTATTTGAAACCTATCTCTATTTCCTAGTTATCTTAAAAGATGAGAAACTTTAATCAGATTTTTGTGGTTTAGGGTAGATCCACTGGACAAAGCCTTTTTAAGATCTGACACGGTTCCATTGATAGATGCAGCTATCAGTTTCACAGACAGCATGCATAAATAGATTGAGGTAAATTAAGGAGTAAATGATAACAAAATCAGATAAAACTTGAGATAAAATGCATAGAGGAATATAACTGAAGGGTCGCTAGCATGCCCAGACAAAAGACGATTGAAGAGGAAAATAGAAGTACAAGATAGAGGATAGAACATCTGAGGAAAGAAGAAAGAGAGAACGGGAACAGAGGAGCAAAGAGGGACAGAGGAAGAGAAAGAGAGGGGAAGGTTGGAGTAGGGTAGAGGGAGGGGGTAACCCGCTTCAGTGCTGTGTAAAATTAAGTTGTTCTTCGGCTAATGTGACAAAATGTGGTGGTGGCACACTGTCACATCGCAGTCCCAGTTAACACAAAGTAGGTATTGAGGAACAAGGTGTGTGCCTAGAAATACAGAGAAAAATAATTCTTGCAAACTGTAGCTAACTCTCACAGAGTGTAGGAGATAAAACAGATCCACAGTGAGTAGAAATTCAGAGAGATTCAGAAAAAGATAGATGGCAGGACAGGATACGAGAGATGAGGACTGAATGCCGTCTTAGAGAGGGAGACAGTAAGAACCTCTTAAGTCATGGGTAGGACTTGGAACTGGAGTGGAAGAGAAATGAACCTGAGACGCAGAGAAAGAGCGTGACAGGTACAGTATATTTACATGTGTAGGTTTATAGATGTGTACTTGTTTGTGTTAGTGTTGAATGAGTGTGCGTGTGTACAGTATGTAGTAGGTTGAAGAAAAAAAAAGTGAAAAAATATGATTTGGCAAATAACATTTTGTTCATGGAGGGCATCCCAGCCAGCATTTGACACATACTGACACATTAAGGTTTGCAAATCTTTGAGAGTCATATCATGTAAGTTAATTTATTCTTCTGAAGTTCTCTTATCTTTACATGCTTGTCTCCCTGCCATTTCATGTTGAAGCAGAAAATGTCATCTTTTGGTCCAGAAGGTAGTTTATTAAATAGTTTGTAAACTGCTTGGAAAATATAAAATCGGGTCTTGAATTAAAAAAATACTGTTATAAGCTAAAATTATTGGGCTACTTAAAAGTTCTATTCTATTCATTGTGAGTTTTAACAGCAGAGGAAACGGCAGTAATAAAAAGGCATTCGGTGTCAAAATGTTTGTTGGGATGCTTAGGTTAAAGAGAGAGAACGAACATAGTGAAGATCCGTTAGTAAAAAACAATGAACTAAATGGAAGAGATGACTAGAGATAGATAAAACAGGAAAGACAAGGGCGGAGAGACTAGACACGAGGCAGAACAAAACAGACTCAAGCAGCAAGACAGCAGACAAGACAAACAGAGGGAGACGGATGGACACGCAGACATACTGTACAATACGCAACAGGTTAGGGGAGGGCTTGGGTTGTTGGAAAAAGGGGGAGGAGGAGGAAGATTTAAGTGGGGGATAGAATAAGTAAACCATGATTGTTAAGTAAAACAAGAAGAAACAAGAAAAGATCATGGCTCAAAGTGGGTTTGGAAGTCTCACACACTGGGGCTTAAAATCAAGAATCAGGTACACATCCCTTACGGCCTACTTTAAACATTGCACATCGGTGCAATCGTCTTTAGGTGGGTGGATGTGACGTGTGTGTCTGAGGGAAGGAGTTGGGTAGAGAATAGGGGCGAGATCTGGGGAGAGACCAAGAGGGGCCTCAAGGATAGATGGCATTCCAAAGTACACCGTGTCGATCCAAATGGGATTCACATGATCGTTGCATGGCACAATCTAATTTTCCCACCAAACTACAGCACAAATATCAACCTACACACATTCTGAGGGGATTTTTACCTGTGAGCTGACTGCAAATACAGACATGTTGTTCATAGGTGCAAAGACTTTAGGTAGATAAAAGCAAGCATCTCCCAAAGGGGGTGGACATATTTTTTGTTATAACCAGAAATACCTGATTTAAGATTTAGAATTTTTTTTCAAAATACTCAAGTCAAGTTCTATTCTAATGAGGAAAAGTCTGATCGAGACCTTATCAGTGTTGGGCTTTTGATCTGTCACAGTCTGAGCTACTCAATGTGCATCCTCTCAGTTATTGACTGCTAATCTAAATTATTCTACCACCCTGGGCAAGACGTGGCCTGACCTTGAGGAGAAAACATTCATGGCTGATCAAAAAGTTTTTTCTGTCGTTCAAAAAATTTCAGACGGTAAAAATGTGCCAAAAAAAGTAAAGTGGGTATATGTTTAAAAGGCAATGCCAAATCTTCTAATTAGTCTTAAAGGCAGTACTGCTGCTTGAAAAATGACCAATTAAATGTAACAACATTTCAGTCATTTCATATAAAAAAGTAGCAAAAAAGAATCCCATCATACGGGAAAAAACAAATATATCTCTACATTATAATTTGAACAAAAAAAAGGAAAAAAAGAAAAAACCTGACTACACAACAAAGGTGAAAGGGCAGCCCATTCCTCACACAGACATGCATGGGTGTGGCTATGGCATGAGTGACATATACAGGTGCACCCCACCCGTTTGGGCAGACACCAGGGAACCAACACACACAAAAAATAAAATAAATAAATAAAATTGTCACCCAAGCCCATTCAAGCATGCCATTCATTCCTAAAACAGCATTGCCCCAGACACACACTCACACAAGATCAAATTAAAGGAAACAAATCAAATGAAACAAATCCACAAAAATAACTATGTCCAAAAAGCATAGACAGAACCAGAGTGCAGCTGTGTTCACAAAGAGGTATGCATCGCTACTATTAGATGTTCTCAGTTTGGATTTTTCTCTTGAATTTGGATTCCAATCCAAAGGAATTGTCAGAATTGAGTAGAAAAAGAAAAAAAGAAACACAGGTTTGGTTGGGAGTTAAATGCCCAATCAAAATTAGTCTAACAGTGCTCTTCTCTCCCTGGGGCTTAGGACAGCCAATGGACCGGGAGCTGTAGTGGTTGAGTGAATGAGGTTTCCCCAAAGGGATATGCCTCGGCTTATCTTTGAGTACTACACTCTCACAGGTAACAACTGGCCTGCCAAAAGCTGTTAACTTTATGGTAGTTTAAATTATATGACTCAATGAGACAGCACACTAATGCACTAATGCATCTTGCTTTGAAAACTTTCTGGTGTTGGAAGAAGAAATAATTAATTACAGTATGTGATCAAACTGTAATTTGCACAAAAAAAAACAGACAAAAAGAACTAATTAAACCAAGGAGACTCTACTTGTAAATGACAGTCATTATGTGTCTAATAGGAGAGTGGATTTGGATTTCCATAAAATTAATTCAGGACCTTTGTCATTGCCACGGCACAATATGTCATAGACTGGGGGAGGAAATAGCATATCAGAAAATGCTGAGAACACGCTGCATAATAAGATTAATTGGGCATCTACATCTGAGTGTCACATTCAAAATGGACACAGGCCTGAAAGGTCTGACTAAGTTCCTAACTGAGCTAGTGTCTGAAACTTAATCATATGTTTAAAATGTACACGCAGCGGAAAAAAAAACAAATTAAAATAATAGAAGAAGGGAAAAAATAAAACAAACAAGAATCCCAATTGCATGGACAGGCTCCTCATTCACAGAGACCAAAACCCAGCCGGCCCATTTGGAATTAAGAGAAAAAAAAACAAACGAACATACCTTTCATTTGGTCTAATAACAACATATAATCTTATTTTAAGCCCCAATGTGGAGAGAAAGACAAGAAGCTGTACACTGGACGAGGTGAGAAGCAGTCGAGAGAGAATGCCAGAGTACTATCCTAACTAACACTGGGCGGTGTTGTGGAGGGATTTGTGCCAAAAAAACTGAAGTCAGAAGGTGGACATTATCGGCCATTTTGGTGAGGCAGATTTTTCTGCCCCAAAATGAAGGGGGGAAGCCAAAATAATGTGCAGCCTTTAGTGTCACCTTGAAGCTGAGATTACACCCTCTTTCTGCCTGAGGACACAGGCACAGTATAGAGATCCTTTAGTCACACTTGCCAGGTGAGTCCTGCGGCATTTACATTTAAGCTGCAGGGGTCGGCCTGTATTAACATACCTTGGCTGTGCCAATGCTAAACAGTCACTATGGGTGGCTCATCAAAATGGAAATTATCACCTAAAGGAAATTGACAAGAATGGTAGCAGGGGTACCTAATAATAGCAAACACTGGGCTGAGGAGATATTTGAGAGCATCACATTTTCTTCTGCTGTCTTACAGGTAGATGACAAGCAGCTAAATCATGCTGCAAGTACATCCCCTCCCTGTGGTGATCCCTTCATTGAATTCCATAAGTCAAATTGAAAGTGGGGAGTATTTTCATTCATCTATATTTGAATAAGAAACAATGAAATATATAAGTATGAGAAAAAAATTCTGACATTGGCATTAATTTTGAGGGATTGCTGTGATCCTTTGGGCTCCTTAAGACAAACATCTAATAGAGATGACAAGGTTTGCTTTGGCCAGTGAGAACATAAGGTGTAATCTAGCTTTCTTTCCCAACATCACACGCAAATGCATAGCAGGACATGCAAGCACATTCAAAAACAAGCAAATGCATTCCAAGAGGGTAAACGTGCACATGCATACATATCAGCACAGTCTTTCTGCATCAGTGTTTATTTTTTTAAGGTTAGATTTAGAAATGGATTTGTTTTCTTCAGTTGGACGTTGCCATACATTGTGAACATTACAATATATGGAGCAGCAATGACAGTTATTGACCTGCACATTTAGCTGACTCTTCTATTGCCAAGTGACTTGCCTTAAAGACAAATTATATTTGGCTAGTGTAATACGAACAAATAGAAAGGGCATAAGAAATCCAGGGTTACAAGGAGACTGTAGTGTCAATTACTTGGAAAAGACACTGGCCTTACTGATACCTCGAAACATAGAGGATTAAACATCAAGACCTGAAAAAGCAAGATGTTTCAAAAGTGGCCTGAAATAAATCCTACTTAGAATGCATATTTGGTTCTAGTGGCTGGAAAAATATGCATTCTTAGTCATGAACAACAGTTACTAAGCATGAAAACAGCTAATTAAAGTTCCATACAAACAGTGTATAGTATTTCCTCTAGACAGCCATGCATATACACCGTGTCCCTCTCAGAGGAAGCTGATAGCAAGGAAGTGTGCTATCATCTTTATTTAGTAAGAATGCTATGTCTAACCTAGTTGGTCATGTGCAGGTACATGTAAGACCCTCCACAAAATACTCTTGTATTTTCCTAAAAGCACGTATCTAATGTAACCACATGGATAAATCACAATGACTATTTAGTTCACAACAACCTCATCTTTATCTATTCTGATCTATGATCCATGTATGTGTGTGGGGCTTTGAAAGAACATTAAAATTGACTGAGCAACATGGCAGTGAAGGAACTGTGAAACAGCAGTCAGTCAAAAAAACTAATCACATCTGGCATCAAGTATTTGAGTAAAATTAGCTTTGAGGACTCTCTAAGTTACACCAAATGTGATGCTGAAGTTTTATATTGTTATTGATCCATGACACTGTAAGCAGGATCCCTTAATGGCTGCCTGAAATCTCTATGGAGCCCAATCAGTCCCAATCATGTCAAATGTCTCTCAGTAATGGATCACTACAAACAAGATGAGGAACACTGGCTGTAAACACACTTATTGTTACATTTGGCATGTCCATTTGCACTCCGAGACTCAAGAAGCGGGCAGCACCAGCTTGAAAATGAACACAAATCTCACAAACAAATAACCGAAAAAAAGAGGAAAACGCTTAAGTTCAGGAACAGAATGGAAACAAAAGGAAAACACACCAACATAACACCAAAATCACAACCAAATAAAAAAGGTAAGCCAAGAAGGGATATAATAAGGGAAAACACAGAGAAAACCAAAGAAACGGAAGAAGACAACTTTGGAAGACAAAGGGAATGCAGAAAGATAAAGACCCTTGCGGCCACAGGTATTTTCTAACAGGCATGCAAGCGCAGTTACATTCTCCCATCATGCAACAGGTACTGTTATTTCCACATGCTGGATTTTCATGAACACGTGCAAGAAAGCTTGTAGGTGCAGAAGCAATACCAAAGGATGCAAAACAAGAAAAGGCCCCACAATGCAAACATAAAAGTAAAGTAACAAGACCCGAGCTAATCAGGTTTGCTTTCATCATTTCTTCCTTGGAAATAAATATCTCTTTCTTCATAATTATTTAGCAGTTTGGATTAGTTTCTTTATTTCAAATTAGTAACTAATTGAGCTTTTCATAAGGCAAAATAAGGCTAAAGTTTTTTCAACACGTAGATTTTTTTTTTCAAATGTGGGTTAAAAAAAGTAAAAAAGAAAAAACACACCAACCTTCTCGAAGCTCTGAGGGATGTAAAGGGGTTGATGCAGAACACAATGACATGAGGAGAAGAGAAAAATAGGGGAAACACAGAGAGAGTAAAAAAAGCCACCTCAAGGTGTTTAGCTGCAGCTACATTTCCCTGCTCTTTTTTTTTTAAACTCTCTTTCCCTCACCCATGCTATCAGTGACACCTGTCTCGAAAGAACACTTGCCTGCCCTCCCCTTCGAGTTAACTTTGAACCAAAACAATCAGATTCACCCCAGTGGCCGCACAGTTGCCTGCTAAGGAAAAAAAAAAAAAAAAAAAAAAAACAGTAGCGGCACCACTGGAGTTAAATCAAATGTACCATACTTATAATAAAAAAAAATTCAGAAGCTCCTTATGGCCACAACCAGTGGTTCCTGGTGGTGGCCCTATTTAATTGAGAGAGGGAAACCAAAAAAAACAAAACCAAAAATAAAATCAAGAAAAGAAAAACTAATGATAGATTGAAAAAAAAACACAGTTTTGAATGAAATTAGCAGCTGCAGTTTAAAAACGTTAATCTTTTAGAGGCTAAAAAAAAGAAGCCAGATTGCATCTTGCTTGAGATGTATTACTATTCAGTTAAGAAGGCTCAGTTTACAATTTAGGATTTTTCAGGACCCTCGAAAATTCACCTGTACCACAGCTGCTAATCTCAGGTGCACTTTGATTTGTGAATAAAACATAGTCAACATCATGTATCAGAATCGATTGACAGAAGTTAACTGAAAACAGACAAAGGTCGACACCATCACAGCATAACAAGTGTGTAGGAATTGTGTGACAGTACTTAAGCAATTATCACCCATGTGTTCCCTTTTAAAGGCATGCTGATGGAGCTAGCTCTTATGGAAAATTGCATGAACTGTTGGAAATTATATTAGAGTACAACTCTCTGTTGTTTGATCAAAACAATCTATTAAACGTCCCAATGCTGTGTCAATAAAGTGTCCCCATCATTGCTTTTTAATGATTCCTGTAGAAGGCTTGAACATAATTTCTACTGGACCCTTGAACCTCTAGCAAGGTACTTGACATTGTCACTGAATCACAGTGGAGACAGCATAAGCTTCCAGGATGAATGCTGGCGAGGGGAATCACTAATCCTTATGAAAGATTTTTTAACCTTCAAATTCACACAGTTTGTCTTCTGCATGCTTCTATTTCACAGAGAACAATAATAGCAATAATAATGAAAAAGCAGCTCCCTGACCTATTTTATTATGTCATAGTAGTGAATTATTTATTGGGAACAAAGTTATTTGGTACACAGCGAAGGGAACAAACTGAGTAGATACCGAGGCATCTTTATTTAATATGCACAATATAAATAATACATGTCGAAAATGCATCTGCTTCAATTTATTAAAGCTCCCTCGACAGGGAATCATTGTCATTTAGCATTAGTGGAAAAAGAGAGGCTTTTGTCTTCATTGTGTGTTTCCTATGAAACTCTTCCCTGCCTGTGACTGATTGTTTTTTTATATCTCCACTTTGCTAGAACATGGCAGCCAAAATTACTACCGACTGTAAAAGCCTTTAAAGATAATACACCAAAGCAGAAATGGGGGAACACTATGGATTTATGCTCCAGTGCAGCATGGCCAGGAGAGGGAGTGTACTATTTATAATCTATGCCAGAGATCATTTTTGTTTTGTGATACAAAGTGGCTAACTATGTTTGCAGTCCATTTCTATTGGGTTTCTTCCCGAAAATCTGGTGAAGAGTACAAAGGGTTTTGATTTTGATTGGTGGGCAATAATACCTAGCCAATCAATCAAAATCAGGACTTACCGTTGCGCTCCTTTACCTATAAAAAAGATTAATTAAGAAAACAGAAGTCTTTCCAGACTCTTTTTGGGATCCAACTTTCATGTTAGGGGACACATTTAACTGAAACACACAGTTAAAGGTCAAAGGTCCTTTACAACCGATAAAAAGACATACGGCTTGTTGTGCTATACATTTCCTTCCGAGTGAGTAGGGGAGGGCATTGAAAGACAAAATGGAGCATAACATCATTACAAAGAAGAACATTAGATGGTCAATTATAGTTTTACATTTGGAAGTTTCATTGTATATGAAATTGCATTTATGGGCAGGCAATACTACCAATGTTAAAAGATTTATGCTTTTCAGGAATTGCTATTTTTCAAAACACATTTAGTGCAAATACAATTAGACTAGAAATGGAACTGAATGGAAACCAATACAGTTTGTTAAGCTCAACAGTAATGGCACTAAAAGTTGAGCTGTACTGTGAAGAAATATTTACAATGGGTAGATGGTTTTATTTTGGATTATTTTTTGGCCCTGCTCTGGAACCGGGTTGCTTCCTACCTCGCACATAAAGGTTGGCAGGGGACGAGTAGCGCACGCCTTCCACGTTAGACGCCACGCACTCATACTTCCCCTGGTCTGTCTCCTCGCTGTTCTCGATTTGCAAGGCACCTGGAGAATGACAACATCCGACATAGACAAAAAGGGAGGGAGAGGAGATGGAGCAAGGAGAGGGAGAAGGAAAGCAGGGAGGAAATTATTCATCAATCTGACTGTGAATGAACATGAAAGAGTCAGACAGTTTTCTTTATGGTTGGTGCATTTAATATTTTATGAACATTTTGTCAACAACTGTTTTCCATCTGCAACTCCGCTACACACTGACATGACTTACTGAGTTCCACTCAGGCCTCAGTCACCCGATTAAAAAAAAAGAGCGAAGCAAATCATCCACAACTGATATCAATCACACTAAGATCTAATCTATGTCGGGATCTCAGGCTCATCTGAAAATTGATAGAATTTTACAAAAAAAAACAGCTAAGACATGATGTGTGGTGGATTGTGATGGAAGTGGAGAGTTGACATGGTAGTGTAGACTCAGGGGAATCTGCAAATCGCCTTTTGCGAAGAACTCACCAATGGAATGTCTGTGTAAGCTGAGGGGATCAGGGGTCATGAGAAAATACACACAAATAAACAGCGGGTCGTGCTCGAGTGTATGGTGGCACTCCCAGCATTCAGCAACATGTGAAACCCTCATGAGAAAAATACAATTATATACACATGTGCTTATGTAGTTTATTTTTTGTTTCAACTGTCTCAATTGTTTTTCTCTTTTAGTGACAGTAGTGCATCGCAAGTTCCATTAAATTAAAAGCTCACATTTTTGTAGTCAGTCCACATAGACCTCATCTTCCATTCTATGCCCCATTTTGAGATTAAAACCTAAGATCTGTTGCTTTTCAAAAATATGTTTTTTGTAATAGGTTTGTAGTTTATATCTTGCCTGTGCCATACCAGTCAACCTAAGTGCTCAACAGCAACATGGCAAAAAAAGGGGAGGTGAGACAGCAGGCACCAGATCAGTCCTTGTTAGAGTGCTGTTGACGGCACTTCCTGATGATATCATTAGTGCTGTGGGCTGGCTCAGCAGACAGATTGCAGCTCAAAATCTGAAAAGCATCAATATCCAGCATCCAGCTTTCTAACATATTATGACCTAAATCGCATCTGCAAGTTGAGTGAACACAATGTTGTACGAGGCTACTTTTCTGGAACGTTGGTCAAATAACATGTTTCAGCTCCGCAATCGATGAGACAATCGATCCTGGTTAATTAGCGGGATTAGTCACACTTCCACTGTGTCCGTGGCCGAAAACAGAAAGGACTATTACAGTCTGCGCATATTTACCCCTTTTAAAAAGAAACCCAGACCTGAAATTAAAACAATCTATAGTGCACCGTTTCTCTCCTCTTCATTTCCCTCCACGGCTCAGATCATGCTCATTGCCTAGAGGGCTCTATTCCTGGCACTTATCTCACGAACCGAATGAAAACGTCTACCTGCAGAGTGCAGGTGGTGCAGTTTTCACTTCGAGTTTATGCAAGCATCTGATTTGGATTTGTTTGATGTGCGCCTGGAACAGCAAATGCCACTGTGGTGGCAGGTGGGTTGGAGTGCGCTCAAAAGCTGAGACCACAAAGTGAGAGCTGTGTGAGTTTCCAGTCTAGAAGGATAGTTCCATAGAGCTCTGCCAGGGACTTGTCTGCTTGGTTCCCTCCCCTGAATTATAACACATTTTGAGATCCTCCTTTGTTAAATCTTGAGGTCTGTTCAGTGTGGCGTATATTCTTGTTTGAAGTTTGCCAGGTATTAATGATCTGCCATTTCAACTACTTTTATCAACACAAATATTGTTTTAAAATCCGACTGAACAAAAATAATTTGATCATCACCAAAACACGACCATGGGCAGCCAGATTATGCAAATAGTGGTAGAAGTGCAGAGGATGACAGGGAGAAATGAGAGAGGAAGAGTGTAATTTGATCCTTTGGTGTAGGCTACTCACCAGGTGCTATTTTTCCTAAATCCTACCAGCTTCTTAACACACGCTTGCTATTATTTCTATTCTATATAAATTCTATTCTATTTCAATTTTTTTTGTTTTATTTATTTATTCAAATGAACACATATGGAGTCTGGACGGTTAATATTATATTAATTTGAATATTACATTTAACTGACCAGGCAATCTTTATCATGGCTGATATTATAAGGGTTTAATGATTCACACAAATCCTCTTATAGACTCAAGTTGTGTCTCTAAAAGTAGCATGAAGTCGGATGTGTGCGCACAAAACAAACTCTACCCATGCTTTATTTGCAACCCTCGTGTCCCTTTTTAAGATTTCTGCAGTAGATGCTAATCTATGTTTTCCATATTTCATCTGTTTCCTCTTCTAGCCTGTAGCTCACCAGAGCACTTGTGGCCAGTGGCAATTTATTTTTCTTTTATCATAGAAAGAGGAAACAAAGGGAAATAAATAAATGTTAAAAATAATCTGCTCTGAACATAATAAAAAACATGCACAGAATCTTTTTATGTCCTGACTGATAAATAAATGCCTGTTGACAAACAATAATTTTGAGTGTTTTTCACAAAATGGCTGCAAGGGGTCTATCGAGTACAGTTAAAAGATCATGTAATTCACAAGTACTTTGTATAGTAACTATGCTAGCTATACAATACAGAATGACAAATTATTGAGTGATTATTGCTTGTCTTGCTACAGTATTATTATTATTATTATTATTATCATTATTATTGACGACCAACATAAAAATGCTGAAAGATATTCTGTGACCTGCCTGCATATGTACTGGAACAAGGCCACCTCTCAATCCACTTCAAAGGTTACACTAACCATCAGTAATCTGCAGGAAGACTCCCCCTGTTGAGCTGTAATTCACGTTTTACTAGGTCAGTAGACAATGGACGGGATCTTACTGACCAATTACTCTCCACCTCAATCAGATCAACCAAAAAAACACCTCCTGTTCTCCGCTGCTCCCCTTTCACTCCTGGCTGTCCCACAGTATGTTTGCTGCCTTCATCAATTCGAGAAAGAAGGCTGTAATGGGCAGTGGGGCTCTAACATTTGTCCTAGTCTCGACAGCTGCCCTGGTTAACAGCGCTGCGTGCTGCTGGCTGATCCGATGAGCAGCGAGGTGCCAAGTTAACAAAGTGATCTGCCCGGGTGTTGAACAAATACACGCTTTTGGGATAGACATTCCTCAGAGACTGTGAGAAACAGTGTGAGAAACAGTATCTGAGGTCATCTAAAAGTTTTTCTCTGTCCATCAAATCCAATTCAAAGCCTTTAGTTCCATTTCAATGGTACGGTCTCTTTTTTAACCCCGAGGAAGAAAGTTTATAAAACATCCCCTGGTGTGTTTCAGAGTTTCTTTCCTTTTCTGTAGCTGCAGATTAGTTGGAAACATCCCACAGAACAAGAAGAGGATGACGGAGAGATTCAAACAAAGATGGGAAAATAATTTTATAGTATAAAGAAGTGGAAGGGAGAGTAGAAGAGAGAAAAGAGCAGAAAACATATGGGTAGATGAGGGAATTAAAAAAAGGAAGGAAGGCCAGGATGGATGATTAATTTCATAAAGTGCCTGAAGCTGTGGTCTGCCCACCCTGGCCACTGCTTTGTTACAGCTTTACTGTGTATATACCACCCCCCACCCCCAGAACCATTTTTGTAATTCAATTAGTGTGCTCCAGTGGGCCTTGATTGATTTGTTTAGGCGATCAACAAAATGTCTGGCCAAGTCTCACTCTTCTTTTTATCCCTCCCTTTAGCTCCTTCTGCATCCCACTCAGGCCTGCTGGTGGCACACTGCTCTTTTCATATTTTTGTCTCTCTCTTTCAGTTCACGGCTCTCATTAGTCCCTCATTTCTCCTCTCCTGTCATTTCCCCTCATCCTAACACTGCTCACAAATGCTCCTCTACAGTCCAATTACAGCTCCAAATTAGCACCTTACTGTATCAGTGAATACACGCAAATAATAACCTTTTGAACACAAGAATTAGGCCACTTCAATGCACAGTGCGGGATACAACTGTTTTTAATTAAAGCTTTCAATGTTTAACTTTTCTTTATCAAGGGAGGATAACCTCCCGTGAAAATGTGAAACTACATTTATTCATACACTAATTATATATTAGATTCACTTTTATGAGCACCATCGCTACTATTACTGCTACTACTACTACTACTAATAATAATAATGAATGATCATGATACTAATAATAAACACAAAACTATATATGATATAGATATTATGTCTCTGTGCATGTGTGTATCTACTAATACCTTTTTCTGCTTTAATATATGCCATACATTTGAACTTGCGATGTAGTGGGGGCAGTGGGTCATTTTTCATATTTTCTTTTAAAGGCAGCTTATCCTATTATGCAAATGCAAAGTTCATTAGAAATACTTTCTTTAAACCTCTCTTAAACAATCAAAGAAGATGAAGTAAGGGATTGGCAATGTTTTCCTTGAAGGTTGGCTTTGGAGAAATGAGGCATCATCTGAAATTAGTCAGAAAAACCCACAATGTTCATGGAATGCTGTGGATAGAGCACTTAACCATACTGTGGGAGCTTTATTGTCAAAACGAATCTCTGACTTTACTGTAGTAAGCTGTAATCGCAAAACCAAAAGCATTAATTTTATCCCCTTGATTACATGGGTTACTCTTCAAAAACCGAGATATCCACTCACCTGCTCACCCTGTGGAACAAAGGCATTTTATAAAAAACACACACATCAAACTGAATCACCTGCAGGTTAATTTTTCAGCAATAACACCTGAGGGATAATTACAAGTCAAGGTACACTCTTGAAGGGAATGGGGGGAAAAATTAAGAGACTTGATGAATTATTCGGACAATGTATAATTCACAAGAGTCACATTACTTTATATCTTTTGTCAGTTTCTATCTCTCCTTGAAATCCTTCCGTTCATCATCTGGTAATATGAAATTGTTTTTTCTTTTTTTTTGGTAAAAGGGCGTGCATGTTGCCGGGTTTAAGAATTCAGCTAGTGCACCCTGAAGCCTCCCTAGTTTTGCAGTTACAAGCCGCTGTACA